AGTAATTTTGTTGTTTTTATTTTTTATTGAATTTTTTAATGTTGCTGTAATTAGTTCTAACTTAAATTTTGTTGATATAACTTAAAAAGCCAACTAAAGTTAACTAAACCTATAATTTTATTTAGTCTATTTTAAGCATGAACACTTACTTTTTTAAGTTGAAACCACACATTACTACTTATTCTTATATTGAATTTTTGGCTGTAATAACTACAGCAATCATTTTACAGTGTATATAATTTTTGTATTTTTATTTCAATTTGAGTTATTTCAGTACATCAATCTAAACTAAAGGAAAATGAGAAATTAGAAACTAAATGCAAATAGAAATTAAATACATTTTTTATTTCGGTAAAGATTTATTTTAAGTAACATTTTTTAATGGTTTTAGTTAAACATAATAATCCTGCTTATAGTAGTTTGCTTGTTTATTGGATTAACTTCAATAAACAAGCAAAGTTTCTATCCAAACTTGGATTTAATGTGCATGCATTTGGAATGTGATCAAGTCAAAAGGTTATTGAACAGCTTGTAGACCTGTCACTTCCTGCTCTGTGGCAAGTGATGCAAGTTTCCTGTGAGATTTGAGTTCAACAACTTTGGGTTCGGTGGGCTCAGACCACTGACATGTTGTGTTGCTCTCTCCAGTAGATGATCCACGGCATCTGTGCCCCAGCCAATGAGCTAACGGGAATATTTAATCTGCCCTTGATGTGTTTATTTCCTGTTTTGTGTTATCTTGATCTTCAGGCCCAGTAGTAATTCACATTGATTGTCTATATGTTGATAATGTTCTTCATAAAATAAAATTGTGTGAATGGTTGAAGGTGAGGTGTGTCTCTGTGTTTGAGCCCTGCCGCAAACTCATGCTGTTGGTTTAGAGAACTTTACAGAATGACAATCTTGTCATTTGTTGCCCAACTGGGCATTTCAAATGGGTTGTATTTTTGTTTGCTGCAGCAGAAATGGCAAATAATAAGGAGTTCTTAACAAATGTTGTTTTACAATCCAATACAATGCTGAATACAACAACTCTGTTTGATAAATTACATACCATGAGAGATGTAATGCGTCTGTGCGTAAATGCATGAATGTAAACATGAACCTGATACATCATGACGTCACACACCATTGTTTCTCATGATTCTTGTGACTTTGCCAGGTTTGTTATGCCACTGTTTTGTCCTTTTTGGAGCTTGACAGCCTTTGTGTCTACATTTTCTGTATAGAAAAGTGCATCATAAACGTTTACCGTTTAGGAAACTCGTGGTTTCAAAATGACTAGAGGGGGCGCAAAATGATGAACAATCTTTTTAAAGTTGTGTAATATCATGTTAAGTTATGTAATAAACAAAAGGTCGTTTTGGAAATTTTAATTATCCTACTTTCTTGAAAGGTCAAACTTTTCCTCTGAAGGAATGAAAATGTGTTTAGATGAACTCCTTGAGAAATGCGGAACATATGAAAGCCACTGCAGAGTGTTTTATGTAGGGGTTGTTTGTCCCACTCGTGATGTTTGAATTCACAAATTGCCCTCATTTAATCTCAAATTGCATTATGATGAAGGCTGTTCCTCCTCGGAATAACATTTGACCAGTCAGTTGATTTTAATTCACCCTGTGCCCATACTTTCTGCTTTACTGCTTTGGGGCATGAGCTGCCCAAAACGGCTGGAAAAGTCTATATTTTTAACTTTTTAAATACTCCTGAATGTTAGAATGTCACAAAAAGTTTCACTCCCATTGCTCCCGAATTAGTAGACTTTTCTCTTACTGTTGTTACATAATACCTTTTCCATGGCTGTAAATTATTTTAACCCTATATGACTACAGATGTCAACACGAAATCTGCTTTTACAGTTTAACTTAATGTCATGTGCCTTTTAAAGCATGGACATTGGCTGAGGTTCAGACTGATTCTAAATGAGGAGTTTGTGTTTGATGTATCTTCTACAGTAGCTCATGTCCTATACAGTTTTGTATTAAAAGACATTAAGTAAATCTGTAAATTAGTGTAAATAATAATGATAATTATTCATAATTTCTGTCATCCTTGTATTGGTAGTATTTATATCTACTTTATGAAATGTAGACATATTGGTTAAAGGGTTAGTTCACCCAAAAATGAAAACTCTGTCATTAATTACTCACCCTCAAGTCGTCCCATCGTGGTAATATGCGTTGATCGTGGTAATATTCTTGCTGTCTATGGGAGGGTCAGAGAGCTCTCAGATTTCATCAGAAATATCTTAATTTGTGTTCCGAAGATGAACGAAGGTCTTGCAAGTTTGGAAAGACGAGGGTGAGTAATTAATGACAGAATTTTAATTTTTGGGTGAACTATCCCTTTAAGGTTAAACTCAGTTTAGCACACTCTAAAAAATGCTGGGTTAAACACAACCCAGTGCTGGGTAAAATAGGGATAAACCCAGCAATTGGGTTGTTTTGGCCCAGTGGTTGGGTTACTACCCAGAAGGTTGGGTTAAACATTTAACCCAACCGCTGGGTCAAAACAGCCCAATTGCTGGGTTTGTCCATATTTTACCCAGCACTGGGTTGTATTTAACCCAGCATTTTTAGAGTGCACATTACTACACTTAAAATCATTTGGTGTAGAATTTACTTAGAAATAATGATATAATTACAAAGAATGGCAAGTAACACGTTGAATTAAACCTGAAATTTTGTAGTAAGAAAACTGAAATACTGATTTCTTGTAAAACATGCTCCAGTAATCTTTGTTTTATTTACAACTATAACATTTTTTTTTTTTTACAGTATTAGTTACACTAAAAGCAGAGCTTTCAGATGAATTGGTTGCTGGATGCCTTTTAATGTTTATTAAAGTTGAAAAGTTGTTTGGATGCCTTTATTTCATTTTCTCATTTCAATGAATTGCAAATCCTACATCCGTAAATAGTGCTGCATGTGGATTCACAATTAGATTAAGATCAGGGTTTTGGCTGGGCTTTTGTAAGACATTCACCTTCATTGTTCTTGAGCCACACCAAGGTTTATTTTACCTTGTGTTTGGGATTACTGAAAGAACTGTTTCCCAAGTGTTCGTTCCCAGCGTACAGAAAGAGATATCCAATCTCTGCCATTGGAAAGCAGCTCAACACCGTGATGTTTTAACCTTCATACTTCACCAATGGGAAGTCGTTCTGTGAAAGGTGTGTAATATTAGATTTGAGCCACATGTATGTGGCCAAAGTATATGCACACCCCCTTGGTTTGCCTATTCTGTCAGGACAAATCTTAATGCTGTAGCATGTAATACTAGAAAATGATATGCTTTCAGTGTTGTTGAAGCTGTTCCTGCATGGCAATACTGCATGAAGAAATGCTTTGAGGAACTTACTGGCATGTACTTCGTTCAGACCTGAACATCTTCAAGATCAACTAGAACACCAACTGCAAGCCAGACCTCTTTACTGATGCTCTTAAGTCTAAACTGGTGCAAATCCATGAATGTTCCATGTTCAATCAGTGTTTAACCTTTAGTGAAATGCCTTCCCAGAAAAGTTTAACCTTTAACATACAGAGAAAGGTTCATGTATTTTGCATGTTTTTTGAACAGAAAATTACCCTCCTCAAACTTCTGCAACAAAGTTGGAAGCACAGAATTCTCTAGAATGCCATTAATATTCGTCTCACTAGAATTGGTGGAATAGGGAAACCTGTTAATAAGAAATACCTGTTATTATTTAGGGAGTGTCCACATACTTTCCACCATTTCATAACTGATGAACTGGATTTCTGGTTTGATATTTGATTGTTCTAGTTTTCTGTTCTAAATTATTTAATTGGATTTAATATGCTTAAGTGACGTTAAATTACATCATTTGACAGCTTAATAGCTTTAAATACAAATTATATCACAAAATACATTGTTTTGGAGTACAATTAAGTGCTTTCCCTCATAGTCCCATGAGAAGATCTGTACTTCGTTTTTACAACTTTGAAATTAACGTTTGCTTAAAAAAACCTATTATAGTTATTCCACACACAATAGGAGCTATTTTGAGTGCCTTAATGCAATCATTGGCCTGTACATAAACACATGCGATGGATAAAGAAGCATAGGGGGAGAACGGGGCACAAAGTAACACTTTTTGACTTTCTCAAATTGTGTAAATCCACATGGGGTTCAGAGTATAATTTTTTTATCCACAGTAATTTCACACTTGTCTAGTACAAATATGTCGCTTTGTTTCATAATTACAGTGTATACGTTTTTCTTTATTTACCCTCAAAAATTGGAAGTGAAATGTGACAACATGCCCCATAGGTGGGGTACATTGTAACAGCTGAGGGGCACGTTGTTACATCACCATATGACAGCTTAAAATGTTATCTGATCGCATGAAAAAAATATACAAGACAAACTAAAATATGTTGTCAATAAAATAAAATAATTATTTGTTTCAAATAAAATAATGGCGTTTTTTAAGAATTAAAAATAATCTGATTTTGGAGTTTGACAATGAACACATTGCAACCATGCTTGGGACGGCCCACAACGAGCCAAAATGCTTTACGTGTCTTGAAATAATAATTTCTTAACATTAAACATTGACTGTCAGTATTTATTCACCTGTTTCTCATCGTTTATCATTAAAATGTATTAAAGTAAATAGTGTACCGTCTTCTGATAGTTAACGAAGCATTAAAAAATAATCTAAACTGATAAATAACATATTGGAGATTAAAATAATAGCAGATTTGTCTAATTTTAAATGAGTAATAAAAACGGAGATGAAAAATGTACTTAACCCAGAAATATAATTTTACCACGGTCAAATAAATGTTCAGCGATATCTTCAAAAAACTTTTGAATGTTGGTGCACTTTTTTCTCTATATAATGTTGAAATGGTAACTAGTAAATGCTGTAAATTTGGTTATGCTAGCATGTGTGGAAATATTTAAACCACGTGTGTTAACTTACCCCGCGTTACTTTGTGCCCCGCGCTCCCCCTAATCATGGGATGAAAACATTCATTGTAGAGGTTGTCCCTCGGTCATCCCAGGACTCTCTTACTCTTTCCCACTGGTGCGTCGAGGCGTGCCAGTGTGTTCATGTGATGCAGGAAGGATGTGTCCTAAAAGAGTTTGCATCGAGCCAAACTGCATCACTTCTGAGTCTGACACCGCTCAGCACTCGGATATTCCCCCTTTCGTTTTGCAGTTACATCGGGTGAAAGGGAAGAAACCGAAGAGAACGAGAGAAGGATTGTGAAATGGGAGCTACGGCATCATCCGCGCAACGGGACAGCAGATGTGAGGAGGACGCAGCGGCGGAGGAGCTCACTGCAGCGGCGAGCGATGCTCAGGATGACGGCAGTGCTGATGACAAGGTAGAATGCATGAACCAACCTCCTGCTGCAGAGAAATGCTTCACAAAGTTTCAAAGACACGAGCTCTGAATCTAAAGACACACACAGGTTGTAACTCGAAACATAGTGTGCTGCCTCCGTTACGGCATTTTTGAGGTAATGCAGAACATACGATGCTCAAAATGTTGTGTAGACGCTCTTTTCAGCTGAGTAGTTTTGTTTTGTTTCTCTGTCGATCAGGTGTTTATCTTTTAGGATAAGTTAATTAGACATATGTTTACAGAGTAAATGTATAGATTTATAAAATAGTGTGGACTTTGGTGCTTTTGCAAATCTTAGCACATTTGCGAAAAAGTAGAGAGGAAAGTCAGAGAAAGTAGAGTCTTTATTACAGGATAACATTTTCAGATACAGCAGACTAAAGCAATATACTTAACTTTGAAACCATTTTCACTCAGAAATAGCAAGTAAATGTCTTAAATAATATACACAGAAATAGCAAGTAACACATTGGGTTAAACATGACATTTTGAGAAAGACTGAAATAATATTTTGTTGTCAAACTTAATGTTTTAATTACAACTTAAATATTATTTATGTATTTATGTCTAGCAGTTCATTGCTTTTTTAGTAGAAACAACTGATATTCACAAGAGATCTTATTTGTGATTTTTCTTTTATATGAGGAAGCATCTTACCAGATTCTCAGAAGAAGAAAGGTCATATTGTCAAGCATTCTGAAATAAGTTACATTAGGATGAAAGTGTGTTTTGATTGGTGTGGAAAATTTATCAAGAATGTCCATAATGCAATATCCTGACTATCATTTGCAGCTACTTAACTGCAGTAATGAGAGTCAAAAGAAAGAAGATTAGGTGACTTTGTCCTATTTTTATAGGTGTTTGGCCTAAATTCGCTGTATGAACAAAATATGCTTTGGTTCTGGTAGTTCAGATTAGATAGTTTAGTTTAGTTTAATAAGAGAGCACATTATTTGTTTTGAATTAATTATACATATATATATATATATATATATATATATACACACATTTTTTTTTTTTTATTGATCACTGTAGTCTTGTGGTTTGAGAACTGCAGAAGTTGACATATTTCTTGGATGAAGTCACATGTCATCTGCCAAGTATTTCTGTTAATATTGCAGACAGAATAAATTCAATAACACTGATAACTGATGCATCCTCAGTGGCTGGCAAATAATATGGTATCTTTTTTACTTGACTCCAAACTTTAAATTAGAATTAACAGTGTTCCATCACTACTAAACTGCTTCTTATCATGTGGGTTGAATTTCTGGTTTGTCCTTTGATGTTTGTTTGCTTGTTCATCTGAATTATTTTATTGGATTAAATGTGTAGGTTAAGAATTTTAAAATGCAATTTCTTTTCGGTTTTTGAAAAGATGGTTTATTACATATCACAACTCCATCTCCTTTTAGTTTTTGGGTTTGTCAGTTTTTTTGTACTAATGTGTGCACATTAATGGAGGGATATTTGTAGTGCTCTTATTCCCAAAGGAGTGATGGAATTCTCCCTTACTGCACTGGGTGCATCGATTTTCCATGTAAAACTTGATGAGGTCAGCTATGGTTTAACAGGAAGTCTGTGAGATGGCTTTTAGTCAAAGGAGAGCTATTTGATACTCGGGTTCCATAAATATGTTCATTTATTTTGTTTTGTTAGTTATGCCAAGGGCCATCTCCTTCGAACTACATTGTGGTTAGGCACTTAACATTCAGAAAATGTAGTATTGTGATAACTTTTGTAAAAATGTTTGGGGAATTTCTTAACTTGAATCAGACTTCATAGTTGTACTTTTCCGTAGTTTCTATCTTTGGCCTGAGTGAGCAGTGCTGAACATACATGAGACAAACTATAATATGACAAACTCACTGAGATTGTTGCCAGAGATAGCATATAGATAATACGTATAGTTAAGAGCTACAGTGATGTAATGACAAATAATTTATAAAGTATAATTTACTTTGTTAATCACTTCTTAATCTGTCCTGTCTTTTCCATGTAGTTATTACAGAAAAACGGGCAGATCTCCAGTTTGAATGTAAAGACAAGAAACCATGCAGATGAATTAAATGGCAACTTTGAGGAGAAAGTACTTGCAGATGGTATGTAAAACTATATTATTGCTATTAATTTAATTGTTTCCCTTATTGTTTCCAAATGAAATGAGAACAGCACTTTTTTATAGTAGTAAATATAAAATATTTTTTGAGTATACACTTACCTTGGCACTTTTCATTCTCATTTAATTATTTATTTTTTGTCAGTTGGCTCAGGGTTTGTTACTCTGAAAGAAGATGGCACAGAAACAATTGAAGACCTCCAGGAAATGGATGCTCTTCAACCAGTCACGAAGATTGAGAGCACAGAGATGGTTAATGCAGATAGTGTGACTGTGAAGGAGGAAACTGTGGAGGACAACCAAGTGAATGATATCAATAAAGTTGGCTTCAAACAAATCTTCAGATTTGTTGGATTTAAGTTTACCCTAAAAAAAGACACATGTGAAAAGACTGAATCAGATGAAGAAGAAGAAAAAATGACAAGTCCCTCAGAGGACTCCAGTGACACCCAGGAGAACAGTGCAGTGGCAGCAAATGAAAACACACCTGATGAGACTCGAAAAAGTGAGGTGTCTTCCCAGCCTGATGCAGCTGAACCCTCTCAACAAACAGACAATGAAAAAGAGCTGGATCAGGACATAAAGATAGTGGAACATCATGTGGAGGACACACCTGAGAAAGAACTGGAAAAAGAAGGAAGTCCTGAGCCAGAGGCACCGATGTCACCAATGAAGCAATTCTTTACACAAGTACTTTTTGCCAGTTTAAGAAAGAAAAAGGAAGAAGAGGAAATGCAAACCCCAGCTATTATTCCTCTGTCTGAGTATGAAATAATTGAGCCTGAAAGTCTGAAGGAGGTGCATGAGCAACGAGTTGAAATCACAATAGAACATGAGATGCCAGAGATGACTTCACAAGTGTTAGAACAGGACACATCTAATAACTTGGTGCCCAAAATTGCAGCTAAAGTTCCAATTAACACTGGACCAACAGTCATACATGGATTATCAGAAGACTTTGAAGAATTTACAGACTTTGTGAGCAAACATCAGCAACTGAGTGATATTCCAGAAGAAGGCATCAATGAGGAAAGCATTGAAACACCAGTATCATCTGCTGAGTGGACAACACAGGATGACACCTTAGCTGAGGACATTGTGGAGTTGACAGCAGATGCGGTCACTGCCCCAGAACTATCAAGTGAACAATTTATTGGGGATGACACTACTGAAATGGTCTCGGCAGTCTCGCAACTAACCGATTCACCCAGGTCATCTGGGCATGTTACACCAGTGTCAGCTGAATATGGCATACAAACATCAGATGTGATCCTACAGGAAGCTATTCAATCTATCTGCATGACTCCAAGTGTTCAGTCAGTTACTACAAAAGATGAAAGCCAAGAATCTCTGGCCTTGTCATTTTCACCTTATATTGTACAGTCCTCCACAACAGAGGAAACAAAGGTTTTGGTTGCACATAAGAAAACTGAGGCAACAGCAATATGTACAGGCCTAGAATCTCAAGAAATAGAATCTGTTGATGAACATCTTCCTGCACCCTTAGTGGAGGTAATACCTGAAGTAAGTGATGCTGTCCCAACTGAATTAGTCTCTGATAACTTTACAAATGAAACTGAAATTGCAGGACTTTGGACAGATGAGGTCTATGAGGCTGAAATGAAGGAACTAAAGACTGAGTATCAGGAAGTAATTGTAAGTGAAAAGGAATCTGCCACTGAAACTGAGCTAAGTGTAGAGCAAGTTATTCAATTAGTGGCAGAGCCTCTTGTGGGAGAATCAGAGGAGACTGATATGGAGGAACAGAGAGAGGAATGTACAACTGGTATTGAACTCAGACAGGTGATTGAGACAATGCAAAGTGAAGCTGGGCTGGAACAGGTTATGTCAGACTACACCCATGGTCCTGAAACAGAGTGTCCACTGCATTCAGTGTTAGAGGAACCTGTATATAAACAACCAGTAGCTGCTGAACCTGAAAAAGAGCTCACGCTTTCAGATGTTGAATTGTACGTTGCTGAGTATGATCAACCTGCATCCACTGAAGTAGCTGAGTCTTTGACACATGGTGATATAGACAGCAGTCCTGGCACTACCACAAATAAAGAAGTCAAAGAAATAGAAATTAATGCTTCTGCTGTGGAGTGTCTGGAAATCACAGAGACTGATAGTATTATAAGTCCAATTTCAGATCACATACAGGCAGAGAAACTGGAATTAGAAGGGAGTTTAAAATTAGAAGCAGTTGAATCAATACATGTTGATGCCTGTGAAATACAAGTTGACGTAAAAGATGCAGTCTTATTAGCAGGTGATTCAGCGGTGACTGTGGAGAACATCAGTGGGAAAATGGAAGAAAAAGATTATGAAAAAATGGCACAGCAGGACATTAAGGAAATACATGTAGAAGAAGAGACAGGGGATGTTATTGCTTCAGAAGTCGTTAAAAATATTGAGGTTGAAAATATTTCAGAAGCTGGAGATAAATCATTAGCCAGAGAACAGCTGCCAGCCAAGGAGGTGTCTCTTCCAGAACCAGTATTAGTTGAAGAGGCTGAAGAGCTCCATAAAGAAGACATTAAAATACATTTGGATGATAAAGTGGAAGACAGTGCAACTGACAGAACGGATGGGATTTTTGTGAAAGAGGAAGAGGAACATGCAGTGAAGGAAGGGCGACCTCTGACAAACACTGACAGCAATGAAACTCCAACTGATAAACCTCCTGAAATAATTGTTGATGCAGGAAGTGAAATTGGAGACATGGTTTATAAAATAAGAGAACACACAGTTGTTTCTGCACTTTCAAAAGATGTATCTGAGCACACAGAAACACCAGAAGAGCCTGATGCTAGTTCTGAAGTCATACTAAAACCTCTAGAGATAGTATTGCCAAAAGTTGAAGCAAAACCTGTAGCAACAGAAATTGTGGTTTCTCAAACAGAAGACTGGGGTCAAGACACCAAACCAAGTCCAGAACTTCCCAAAGAGAATGCACAACCAGTGCCAACGGAGAATATTAAGACTGGTAAAGTTTTAGAGATGGTTGCCATTATTGAGAACACAACAAAACAATCTGGGAAAGAGAAGCCTATGGTGTCTGAACCAGTAACACAGGTACTTGCAAAATCTAAGCTACAAAAAGCAACAGAACAAGAGGGTGAAGCAATAGGTGGTGACCAGGCCCCAGCAATGACATCGTCAGAAATGAAAGAAACAGCAGTTCCAGAAGAAAAAGATACAATGGCTGTTGCTCCCAAACCAGAACCAGAAGGGTTTGATTCAGGGCCGGCTATGATTGAAGTGCCTACAATCACAGAGCTGGCACAAAATTATACTGCTGCAGAAATAGAGGTTAGTAATATGAGTGAAAAGAAGAATGAAGAAGATGAAAATGCTAGTCTAAAATGTGAACCTCATGAACAGGTAACAGAAATTATACTCTCAAATGAGTTGCAGGTAGACAAGACAGAAATTAAAGATGAAATAACCGCAGTAATGGAAATAACACCCACTGCACAAGAATCACAACTGACCTTTGAAGTTACAGCAAAAATGCCAGAAGTTGCTGTTTCTGAGATACAGTCACAAGTAGTGAGTGAACTCAGGGCTGAGACACTTGAAGTGACAGAACCAAAGGTAGAAATTCCAGTGGCATCAGAAGTGAAAGTAGAGACAGCTGTAGTAACTGAACTGGAAGTGGAGACACCAGTTGTCACCTCAGTGGTTAAAGAACTTGAAGTAGAAACACCAGTGGTTACATCTATGGCAAAAACAACTGATACTCATAATTCTGCTCTTACATCACAAAATCAAAACATAGACTCTGACACAACAGTGTTAACAACAGTGATCAAAGAACAAGTGATGGAGATTCCCACTGTTATTTCTGTGGTAGTGACACCAGCTACACCTTTAGATGAAGTAACGCCAATTGTAACTCTAGGCAACGAGTCAAAAGATGTATCTCCTGTAAAAGACACACCTGTCGAAACACCAAATGTCGAATCAGTGATTGTGAGGACTGCTGTGGCCCCAGTAGTAGAGATACATAATGTGATTCCAGTGGTAGCAACACCAGATATTGGTTCAGTAATAGTAACAGAAGCTGCATCTCCAGTGGTAAGTACAGGAACAGTGACTACTACACTAGCAGAAGCACCAGTTGTGAGCACAGTTGTAGAAACACCTGTTTTTTCTGTCACAGCAGTAAAATCAACTCCAGCTGCAGTAGAGAAAACAGTTGTGTCCCCTGTAGTAGAGATCCCAGCCACAGTAACATCTGTTGTGGAGACTCCAGCTGTTGTTTCAATTGAAGAGACTGTACCTCCAGAAGAGGTTACACTAGATGTGACCTCATTTGCAGAAACACCTGTGAGACAAGTAATTGAAACTCCCATTGTCTCCATCACATCAGTAAAACCAACTGTAGCTGAAGTGGCAAAGACACCAGACACTGCTATGATTTCAGTGACAGTGGCAGAAGCTGTATCTCCTGTAGTAGTTACATCAGCTGGAACTCCAATAGCATCAGAAACAGTTATGATCCCAGAAGTAAAAACCTCAGTAGTAACTTCAGCTGCTGAGACATCACTTGTGACACCAGTGGAAGAAACACCAGCTCAGATTTCAGTAATTGCAACACATGCAGCACCTCCAGTTACACCAGCAGCAACTGCAGCATCAGAAACATCAGCTGTGATCCCAGCTGTAGAAACTGCTGTTGTTACAGTTCCAGTTGCAGTGGTTGAGACACCAGTTGTGACCCAAGTAGTACAGACACCAGGTCAGGTTTCAGTGATGGTAACAGAGACTGTCCCTCCGGTAGTTGTTTCAGAAGAGACTGCAGCAATAGAAACACCTGTTGAGTTCCCAGTATTACAAACTCCTGTTGTAAATTCAGCTTCAGCTGCAGTGGTTGAGACACCAGTTGTGACCCCAGTGGTACAGACACCAGGTAAGGTTTCAGTGATGGTAACAGAGCCTGCACCTCCAGTAGTTGTATCAGTGGTGACTGCAGCAGTAGAGGCACCTGTTGTAATGCCAGTAGTAGAAACTCCTGTTGTAAAGTCAACTCCAGTTGCAGTGGTTAAGACACCAGTTGTGACCCCAGTGGTACAGACACCAGGTCAGGTTTCAGAGATGGTAACAGAGACTGCACCTCCAGTATTTGTTTCAGCAGTGGGTGCAACAGTAGAAACACCTGTTATGATCCCAGTAGTAGAAGCGCCAGTTGTAAAGTCAACTGCAGTTGCAGTGGTTGAGACACCAGCTGTGACCCCAATGGTACAGACACCAGGTCAGGTTTCAGAGATAGTAACAGAGACTGCACCTCCAGTAGTTGTTTCAGCAGTGGGTGCAACAGTAGAAACACCTGTTATGATCCCAGTAGTAGAAGCGCCAGTTGTAAAGTCAACTGCAGTTGCAGTGGTTGAGACACCAGCTGTGACCCCAATGGTACAGACACCAGGTCAGGTTTCAGAGATAGTAACAGAGACTGCACCTCCAGTAGTTGTTTCAGCAGTGGGTGCAACAGTAGAAACACCTGTTATGATCCCAGTAGTAGAAGCGCCAGTTGTAAAGTCAACTGCAGTTGCAGTGGTTGAGACACCAGCTGTGACCCCAATGGTACAGACACCAGGTCAGGTTTCAGAGATAGTAACAGAGACTGCACCTCCAGTAGTTGTTTCAGCAGTGGGTGCAACAGTAGAAACACCTGTTATGATCCCAGTAGTAGAAGCGCCAGTTGTAAAGTCAACTGCAGTTGCAGTGGTTGAGACACCAGTTGTGACCCCAGTGGCACAGACACCAGGTCAGGTTTCAGAGATGGTAACAGACACTACACCTCCAGTAGTTGTTTCAGCAGTAACTGCAACAGTAGAAACACCTGTTATGATCCCAGTAGTAGAAGCGCCAGTTGTAAAGTCAACTGCAGTTGCAGTGGTTGAGACACCAGCTGTGACCCCAATGGTACAGACACCAGGTCAGGTTTCAGAGATAGTAACAGAGACTGCACCTCCAGTAGTTGTTTCAGCAGTGGGTGCAACAGTAGAAACACCTGTTATGATCCCAGTAGTAGAAAGTCCAGTAGTAAAGCCAGCTCCAGTTGCAGTGGTTGAGACACCAGTTTTGACTCCAGTGGCACAGACACCATGTCAGGTTTTAGTGGCAGTACCAGAAGCTACTCCTCCAATAGTTGTTTCAGCAGTGACTGCAGCAGCAGAAACACCTGTTGTGATCCCAGTAGTGGAAACTCCAACTCCAGTTGTAGAGGCAGAGACACCAGTTGTAACGCCAGTGATGATGACACCAACTGTGACTCCAGTAGCGGAAAGGTCAGTTGTGAGCCTAGTACTAGAAACTACCACAGAAGCACCAACTGCAATTGCAATGGCAGAGAGACCTGTTATGATCCCAGTGGTACAGACACCAGCTCTAGTTTCAGTGATTGCAAAAGAGGCTGCACCTCCAGTAGTTCTACCAGCAATGACTGCAGGAGTAGAAGTAAAGCCACCAGTGGTAGAGACACCATTTTCATTACCAGAAGTGCCTGCTGCAATCCCAGCAGTACAAACACCAGTTACAGAGCAGGTAGCACAGACACCGACGACACCAGCCATGCTCTTGGTAAAGGCAACATCAGTTGTAACTGGGATGGAGGCACCCACTGTGACTACATTAGAAAAGGCACGGCAGAAGACACCAGTAGCAGAGACACCTACTTTATCCCCTGTGATGATGGCACCAGCTATTGCCGCAGTTGTAGTAGCAACAGCGCCACCTGTTGCTACACCAGAAGTAAAGAAAGCAATGTTGCAGGTAGTTGAACAGGAGAAAAAGGAAGCAAAGTCAGAGGCTTCAGTTGTGTCTAAAGATGTTCAACCACCATTTGTGGCTGCGAAAGAGGTAAAGACATCAGTTTTAACTCAAGAGTGTATATCAGATGAAGAAAATGGGAAGGCTTCCTTGCGGCATACTTCAACAGAACCTCAGTCAGAGGTAGAGGAGGATGTGTGGGAGGATGCTGTAGATAATATTGGAGATTCCCCATGTCAGGTGACACACACAGAGGATGCACCCCAAGATACTGCTGCTAAACAAACATCTGATGCTGCAATTTGATAGTGGCATGCTAAACCAGATGAAAGATTTGAATGAGTTGGTAAGTCATTTTATTACATTGCATTCAGTTATCAGTCATTTTTGATGTCGGATTTAAAAAAAAAATCATAACACTGATTCTATAATTTCAGGTGCAAGTTTAACAAGGAAAATTCAGAACATTTTACACCTGGAAGAGGCTGTGCTCAGCACATAATCAGCTGGGATTCACATTTCTGACAACAAAGAAATGACCAAACCACTGAGAAGTAAAATTGCATCATTAAAGTTCCCTTAAGCAAAAGTGAAACCAAAAACAGTAGTTATTCAGTGGAGTGGCTGTTTTTTGATCATTAACAACATTTTTACATTTTACTTTGATGCAGAAAATATTTCAACATATAAAACCCTTCAAAAGCAGCTATTTTGTCATATTTTTACTGAGGATTTTTGTCAATGAATTTTTTTTATCATTATTCAGACATTAGCATAAGCTTATGCCACATTATATCATGCTGTTACATATCTAACAAAAACAAAAAACAAACATTTGTACACATGCATTATATCTTGACCATTTGGCATATTTAGCATAAGAAAATTATTGTCATTGTAGAATGTGCAATTCCTGGTATTTAAAGATATTTACTAAATCAAGGTTAATTTCATTTTGAACCATCATATACCTCTTGATATGCATCTAGGATACATTTATTTTATACTCTAAATACGATGTACATTTTACCAAAGCTGTAATGAGCAAATCACAATCATGCTCTATCAAAGAGAGATTTAGACAGTATTCAGTCAGATATAGTCAATGACTGAAAATGACAGATTGTTTAATTTGTTTTACAAAGAACAGTCAAAATCTTATCAAACTCATTATTTATTTTTGTTGCCATGTCATTGTTATGAATATTTTTATTTGTAATTTACAATTTTAATTTACAGAAACACCCAATCTTAGAAAATATTTGTGGCTATATTTTTGGCATGAAAATTGAAGCATGCAATCTAATGTTGCAACTACTGACTTTTCCCCATGTAAGTTTTTTTTTTTTCCCCAGAGAAGCACTTAACATATATAAATGTTCCATGAGTATCAAATGAGTATCAAAACACTCTGTACTGCATATGATCATTACACAGTTGAGCATTTTTAATATTGTACAACCTGCCTTGCCTGTATTACGGAGGTTTGCGGCTGGCCTGATACAATAAGCCATGACATGATTGAAAACAAATTTTTTACTTATTCTAATATATTGCTAAGTGTCCGAAACCACATGTACAGACTGTTTGATTATACAGACTATGCATCTTTGAAGAAATTGCAATATTAACAATCAACTAAATACAAGAGTGTATTGTTATTCCTGGATTTTGCGACATTTGAAAATGTATGGTTTAATACAAATGATCATTTTAAGTTTTATTTAAATAACGAAACGTTACCAATTTTGGACTTGTAATTTATGAAAAGTTGATATACAGCATGCTAGTAGTTTTTATTTCTTTTGGCGAATGGATGAAAGACAGCCTCATAATATGCTGTTTTTTTCTTCTACTTGCAATGTTGAATTACTTAACGAGGTAACTCAGAAGTGTTTCTGATTGGAAACATTAAGTTTTGGCATTTTATTCGTTTCAAACTAATTCACAAATGACCTTTCAATAGAAAAAAAGACATGAAAATGCAGTGGACCTTAAAAAAATACTTATCTCTTAGTTCATAACAACACAAACATACAAATAGTTAAATACTGGCAATAAGCTAATACTGCTTTAGCATGACATTTCAAGAAGGAATGGTTACTTCAGGAATAGTTGTCTCCAAGTCCTTCTTTTGATTTTCCCCCAGTGAATTTTCTGCCAATGGTACAGCGTCGCTCTCAGTCAAACACTGATGTTTGGGAACCTCAGAAGGACTTGCAAAAGGTGCTGCACACATGCTACATTTATAAGGTCTTTCAGAAGACTGAAAGAGAGCTTCCACTTGACTGTTGTCTTCTCCACCACACAGAACCAAACTCTGTTTGTTGACCATAATGTACGAGTCTGTGTCCTGACTCAGACAAACGTGTCGAGCAGCTTGATTGGCTCTGCAGAAGTTCTTTCCGCAAGCACTGCACTTATATGGCTTTCCAGTGTGAATGTACATGTGCTCACGCCAGTGACTTTTCTGAATAAACTTGCGTGCACAGGTTGGACACTCAAATTTTCGGCGTTTTATTTCACGACCCATCTCGGTGCCCTCCAGGTTGTCTATATCAACCATTTCAGAGGGCGGCAGGGTGTCTTCCATCCACGCCTGTTGATCGGTATCACTAATAACATCACTGTCAACACGCAAATGGTCCTCTTCCATATCCTGAACTTCAAACTCAATAGTGTGACCATTTTGCATAGACAACACCTGTGGCTCAGTTGCTTTGTTGGTGTGGACAAGGAGATGTTCCTTCAACTTGCACCTCTGGTTAAAATGGATTCCACAATAATTACAGGTGTAATGCTTTCTGGAGGAAGCACTCTTACTCATTATGCCATATGTGAGGTGTCGGAACATCGTGGCTGCAGGTTTCTGGGTGGGTGACTCTATGCCGACAGGTTGTGGAGATCTGTAATCCATATCAGAAATTTCCAAAAATTCTCGGTGAATGTTTTCAGAGTTTTTAGCATAAATGCCATCCTTGCATGCTGTATTTCTTTCAGGCCGACTGTATGTCTGATCAGGTATCTGTATTCCATAAAGCGAGTTTGTCAAAGGTACATACTGGGACTCGGGGTTTATAAGAAGACTTGCCTCCTGTAATAAAGGGTAGGCATGCAGGAATTTTACACCTTGCTCAAGGCGAAGAGGGTCAATGGGCTGTGTGGTGAATTTTCCAGTGTACATTAAGTTTAGCAGGTAGCTGAAGATATCTGCTTGTATGTCTGAAGGCCTCAGTCGAACACAGTTACTGCAAAAGAGAAGCATAAAGAATCATTTAATAACAGAGTACTGCAAATGTGAACAAATAACTTTTTTGCAATCACGTTCGTAGTACCTGTCTTGATGGATGAACAGCATACGGAAGTAGTTTGAGAACGCTGCAAGAACGGCTTTGTGGGCTTTGAAAAGAACATCCCCGATGGCCACAGTACAGTCACAGAGAAAACCAAACTCTCTCTGAGCATTGAGGCGCTTAAGGAGAACGAGACCATGATGGGCCAAGTCCATTTTTTTCCACCTAAACACACACACACAAATTAAAAGAAAATATTCGTAAGGTTTTCAGTAGGTTCAGTCAATTTATCTTGCACCTCATTAAATATGCATTTCGGTCACCAAAACTCCATTTATTAAAGAACATCTATAGCTTATGTGTCCTTGACCATATGGCTAAACAAATAAATAAATTCTGGCCAATATATATTTTAAATACATTCAGTATATATGATGGAAACAGAAGCTAAATGAAATATATTTTCGGAATTGAACATTTTAAAATGGGCAAGCTAAAAAAAAATTCAATCTTACAGTAGGCTACATTGAGTATGAATGCATATGTGGTAACCATTTATATATTGTTATATTACACTTTTACAACAAAGAAAGTTTTTCCCCCCTCAAATGTGACATGTGAATGTATTTTCTTGGACTGAAATATACGGAGGACAAAACACATTTTTAAACGGTTTTGAAAAATAAATATTTTTTAAATATATTTTTAAAAGAAATGAAAAAAATGGCGGAAAATATATTGGTATAAAATATATTGATGTAAATATATTCTGAATCATATTTGTGCAAATATATATTTTTGGCCATTTTTTGTATATTAATTTGATTGTGTGTGTGTGCATATACACTAGTTAACATTTGAAGTGGATCAAAACCTTTCATCAAAGTTGTCCTAAAACCAAAATGCATTCTTGTCTTAGGACAACTTTGATTCACTTCTTTGATTCACTTCAAATGTTGACTACTGTATATATATATATATATATATATATATATATATAGCAGTAAGGGTGTTTTTCTATACTTGTGAGGGTAACAATATTTATAACAAATACAGTAAAAACTACTTGTTATAACATTCCTCACTTGCAAAAAAAAAAAAAGAATTTAAATGTAAAAACCTACATAATGTCCCATTTCAGAAGTGTGGTTTCAGTGTCTAAATAGGTTTTGAGGCAACTACGTGTGTGTGTGTGTGTGTGTGTACGCGTGAGTGAGTGTGCGTGCGTGCGTTGAAGCCCCGCCCATGCTGGTGAATTCCGAGTACAAAAGTTTCCGCGGACAAATAGGAAACACGCGCTCACGCAATGAATCAAATAAAATAACATTACGTTACACTTTAAACGAGCGAAAGAAAATCACACAGATGAACAGAGAAATTAAACCCGTTAATCTTCCGATAAGCAAAAGCAATGCCAAGACGAAAACGGTCAAAATATGTATAATTTTCGTTTAAGATCCGCGAGTAATCGATAGTGTCCTTCGTTACTGGACTAAAAACAAGCCGACAACGGTTGTATTAAACACTCGTTTGAAATAAAACCTTTAAGCCGTCACTTACCGTCTGCTCTTTCGCGACAGAACTCTAATTCAGTTTAGTTTGTTGGCTGAAGCGGAGGAAACCTCTCCACCGAGCAGTACGAGTTCAGTCAGTCTGTAATCTGCTGCCGTTTTCCGGAGGCTTTGAATCACATGACGTGAGCGCGCGCCGTATCGAACGGCTGTCGATCACTAGAGGCTGATCGATCAATCAATCAACTGCGAGACCACTACAACATTTGTTAGCAGGTCCATTTGAGCAGCATTTGTAATAACTAGTGAAATAATGAATAAAAGTGTCAAATGTTAGCCTACTTAAGCTTATACGTGTTCCAAAAAACAGAGACAGTTTGTCACAGCTTGTAAAGTAAAAAAAAAAAAAAAATCAGTGGAGAAATTTTAGTATTATCAGAGGCTATGTAAGCACAACACAATTACAAAACCAAGTTCCATGCCATTGGCAACAAGGCAGCATGTGAAAAGTTGTGCACAGTTTGGAGCGGTTTTATATTACTCAAGCTCATTTAGAAGTTCCAAAACACAGCTATCTGCTTAATCTGGATTTTACAGCAGGAGTTGAGTTAAGGACATAGATTCAACAGTGATTTCTATCCCATAACTTTCTGAAAAGGAGGCAAAACAGACACAAAATGAGCCACTATTTATCCGATACTTCTAAAAAAAACTTTATTTCGGGTCAGTGTCACATTAAGAATAGCAAAAGATAAGATGATTTATCAATGAGAACTTCATCTACAGAAAACAAACTGATTTGCTGGTTTACACAAAGTCACTGTATGCCACTGTAAGACTGTATCTGTGGGTCCTCAGAAGATTACACGAGCAAGTTCAAACATCACCTAAAGATAAAAGAAAATAATATATATATATATAGGTTTTGCATTGCATTTGCAAAATGTGTACTTTAAATCAAATTTGGAGGACACAAATATGATATGATGTAGACATTTCAACAGTTTTTGACAGTGCAGCTGAATATTATTTATTGTCTATTGAACTGGTGTTCAAAATGAAAGTCTGCTTAAAGTGGATATCAGTGTTTACTAACCTCAATAGTAATCAGAACAACGATCATCCACTCCAGTCTGAGACTGTGTTTCTCACTGAAGTGATTCCTCATCAGGTCTGTAAGTTCAGTGCAGTGTTGTAACTTCTCGTTCACAACCTAGAAAACAAACAGTGAGCTAGGACCAAAGCAACATTTTATCAGGATATTTAAATGTCCCTTAAAGGAATAGTTTACCCAAAAAATTTAATTTGCTTAAAGTTTACTCACCCTTAGGTCATTCAAGATGTAGATGTAGAAATTTAACATGACATCACTTGCTAACCCATAGATCCTCTGCAGTGAATGGGTGCCGTCAGAATGAGAGTCCAAACAGCTGATAAAAACATCACAATAATCCACAAGTAATTGTCTTGTGAAGTGTAGCGGTCTAAAGTTAAAGGGATAGTTCACCCAAAAATGAAAAATTGATGTTTATCTGCTTACTCCCAGGGCATCCAAGATGTAGGTGACTTTGTTTCTTCAGTAGAACACAAATTATGATTTTTTAAGTCCAGCCGTTGCAGTCTATCAGTCGTATAATGCATGGCAATGGTAACAAAATCTATGAGAGTAAAAAAAACATGTACAGACAAATCCAAATTAAACCCTGCGGCTCGTGACGACACATTGATGTCCTAAGACACGAAACGATCGGTTTGTGCGAGAAACCGAACAGTATTTATATAATTTTTTACCTCTAATACACCACTACGTCCAACTTCCTTGAGCGCACGCACGGCATCCGGTGCGTGAGGTGTGTACGCGCTCTGGCGTAGTTTACGCAAGCGCCGGAAATGATCTCTTGCGCGTATACGTCACTCATTGTTTACACAGTGCACAGTCATTGTAGGTACGACGGCTAATCAAAATGGTACTTACTTGCGCTTATCCGGATTGTTCAAACCGACTTAAAACTAAAAGATTACTTTCTCTCGCGCGAACTCATTCGGGAGTTGTGACTTTCCACGTATTCCCAACTTCTGAGCCTGCTCGCCTGAAGTTATGGTTGATTGCTCTTCGGCTGGATATCAACACACCCATTAACGTAAACTACGGCAGAGACGCGCGCGTACACACCTCACGCATCGGATGCCGTGCGCGCGCTCAAGGAAGTTGGACGTAGTGCTGTATTAGAGGTAAAAAATTATATAAATACTGTTCGGGTTCTCGCACAAACCGATCGTTTCGTGTCTTAGGAACATCTTGGATGCCCTGGGGGTAAGCAGATAAACATCAAATTTTCATTTTTGGGTGAACTATCCCTTTAAAACAGGTTAATGATAGATTTGTGTCTTACAAACACACAACTTTTCACATCACAAGATGTTAACTGATGGACTGGAGTGGTGTGGATTACTTGCGGATTATTGTGATATGTTTATCAGCTGTTTGGTTTCTCATTCTGACGGCACCCATTCACTGTAGAGGATCCACTGATGAGCAAATGATGGAATGCAAAATTTCTCCAAATGCAGAAACAAACTAATTTACATCTTGGATGGTCTGAGGGTGAGTAAATAGTTTTCATTTTTAGGCAAACTTTTCCTTTAAGATAGATGCAAAAACATTTTGTGCAAGTACTTTCACTAACCTTAACTCTTCGGTTAATATTGAGGAACTGACAGGTCTTGTCATAGAGCTGCTCAAGATCTTCTCTGTCCCAGTAGAAATCAGGTGTGATCAGTAAGTCAGAGCTGAGATTTATGCAGTGCCTGCAAAAGGTTAAAAAGATTGTAATAATTAAATTAAATAGAGCAGCAGCTTATCTCATACAAAATAAACCAGATAAAATGATCTGACCTCAAGGAAAAGAGCTCCCCTATCTTCTGCATAACTTCAGCCCTGGACAGTTTCACTCTTTGTCCAGACTTCAGCATCTGTTAAAAAGTTTTATGGCTACAATTACTTCATTTCACACTGAGGTATATTTTGCTTTTTTAGAAAAACAGAACACATGTTTGCATCTGTGCCATTTAATATACAGAACTATTTGAACTTGCAAAAAGCAGCAAATGCTGGTATTACCTATGAAAGAGTACATAAGTGGATCTACCTCAGGAATTGACTGGATGGACTCAACAAAGTTGTCGAGAGAGACCTCCCATATTGCTAGTTTTACTGAAATCATGCAAGGTAAACACAAATATTAACAAGAAAATGCACAAATAAAAATATAATTAATCATCAATGTTTTTATAATTTATCAGTGTTTCAAAAAAATGTGTGAAAATGCAAACATATCCTACCTGACAGTGATAAAGCATTGGAAAATGCAAACTTCTCCAGAACAACCTGATCATAATCCAGCTCTTCATTAAACAAGAAAATTCCACGATGGAGCTTTGAATTACCCCTAAACCAACATATAAATAAAAAAACATATGAAAAAATACTGCAACTTTCAGTAGGTATTATATGATTTGAATATATGTTGCATTAAGAAATGAAGGATTTGTGACTCACTCTCCTACTGTATAACTGATCTCTTCATTTTCCCAGTGGACTAGGGCGACTTCATAGGGTTGAATTTCATGCTGTTCCAGTATCCTCATCACTGTCTTTACCTGAGTAAGGTACATCAAGGTTGGCTCACCAAGGTTGCATTTATTTGATCAAAAAGTCAGTAAAAACAGTAATACTGTGAAATATTACTACAACTCTTATTTGACTATATTTTAAAATGCAACACATTCCTGTGATGCAAAGCTGAATTTTCAGCATCATTACTCCAGTCTTCGGTGTCACATGTTTCTTCAGAAATTATTTTAATATGCTGACTTTCTGACTTCAAGAAGCATTTATGCTTCTTCTGTTCGACACTGTTTTCAACATTGATAATAATAAGACATTTCTTGAACACCACATCAGCATATTAGAATGATTTCTGAAGGATCATGTGACACTGGACTGGAGACTGGAGTAAGGATGCTGAAAATTCAGCTTTGCATCACAGGAAGAAAATTACATTTTAAAATATATTTATAATAATAATAATAATCATTTATAATAATATTTCACAATATTGCTGTGTTTTTTTTACTGTAAACAGCCAATAAATGCAGCCCTGGTGAGCATAAAAGTCTTCTTTCAAAAACATTACAAATCTTAATTATTCCAAATGTTCAGTTATGAATAAAACAGAACTACTACTCACAGTTTTTTCTTCAACATTCCAGAACACCACAGAACCTTCTCTGTATGGTAAACAAAAAAAATAAAAAATCAAACCCCAGAAATTCAAATGACAAAACATAATTCAGCATACCTGAAGATGAATATTGTGCCACTATCATAAGGTTTTGCAGCATTCTCTGTTCCCATCACCAAAACATTAGAAGCATCTGAAACCCACAAGATATATTTACTGCAAATATGTGTATCCTTCAAACAAGAATGGAATGTGGTACTTTCTGTGTACGGTCAAAAACATCAAAAATTGCTGCAGACGAACTGACCTCTGGGAAATTCTTTGATTTCAACGAAGCCATGAGCGATGAGATCGTGACAGAGTGTTGGTAAATGGTACTGATCTGCAGTTGCGTATGCGATGCACTGCATCATGTCCTGGAAAATGTAGTTAGATACATAATTATATATGCCAAAGATGAGTTTAACAAAAATAAATAAATCATCACACACCTCCTCCAGACTGGGATGATTGGTTCGTGAAGGCTGTTTGGTTCTTGGTCCCTTAAAAGTCCTTTTTCCCAGCATGCCTCCTTGTTTCAGCACTGACTTGGTGGCGGTTGTTGTGGACTGCAATCTCATTTGTAAACTCCATGTTTTGGATTTTAAATTTAAAGGAGTCAGCATTTCAAAATGTGGTCTCTGACACACTCCCCTCGGCAAAAAGCATCTATGGTTGTGTAAACTGGTGTGACAATTCCTCCAGTCTTTGAGAAGGTTTTGTGTAGATGCACTGGATGCCAGTGTTGTGCAGTTTAACCTGTTGGCGGTGACACTGTTTAATCTATTTAGTGTCCTGAGAGCAAAACCACAGGCTTGTGTCCTTTTCAAAGGCTGATGCAACCTCCATAAAATCTTGAGAGACATGCCTGTATGAATCAAACAGTTTCAGCATTAAAACAGTGTCAAATTATGTCTACATCATCATGCATGTTGTGGCCACGAGGCCTTTATTTTAACTGACCTTGAATGACAAGCATGCCAACACACTGCATTGGTCATATCTAATTATGTATAACCTTCCTCACAATTAATTATGAAGGTCAATAGAAGCAAATGCAATTGAAGCTTCATTCTGATCAGCTGACATAAAGCAGCTACACTATTCATTGTTTTGTACTGTACTGTAAACGCGAGCTGTTCACTAACTTATATTAGATTCTAATGATTCACAGTAATGAATTCTCTTTAACCTCTTTAGCGTACCTGCCGCGTCCCGTCCATAGACTGTATAAGTCCCGTCCCGCCAAATATTAGAACGTTCGGTGACAGAAAGTGTTACACCGTAGATACAAATGTTGCAACATTCTCAAACATTCACATAAAGTTTATTTGACAGTTCGAACTGCACGAGTGATCGGGCACTTCCTGTATTTTGGTGACGTCCAATTGAACGTAAAAGTCGCTCCGCCCCTACAGACTTATTCGGATTTTATGAATTTTATTTTGAACCTTATTGTTTATTTGGTAAGTTTCGTGTAAAAGCATATGCAAATCTAGGTTTGTTTGTTCTCTTAATATGTTTATAATAAGAAATCTGGTCGCCGTGATTTTGCCAAGCAAGACATGTTCCTGGATCAACATCTTTTGTTGATCCTGGTTCAACATTACTGTCCAAAAATACGGACTTAACCCAATCCCCACCCCTAAACCTAACCTTACCCATAATTTATTCCTAAAATCAGCGGGAAATGATAGCTGATTAACAAGGGTGTAGAAGCACCTAATCCTGATTGTAAGCCTAAAACTGACATTTCCTGAAAAGTTATCTCTCAATTCTGATTGGTTGATGGGAATGTTGATCCAGGAACATGTTGTACTTGGTCAAATCTATCTATCTATCTATCTATCTATCTGTCTGTCTGTCTGTCTGTCTGTCTGTCTATCTATCTATCTATCTATCTATCTATTTCTGTCTATCTATCTGTGTCTGTCTGTCTGTCTATCTATCTGTCTGTCTGTCTATCTATCTATCTATCTATCTATCTGTCTATCTATCTATCGATCATCTATCTACCTATCTATCTATTTCTGTCTATCTATCTATCTATCGATCATCTATCTATCTATCTATCTATCTGTCTATCTATCTATCGATCATCTATCTACCTATCTATCTATTTCTGTCTATCTATCTATCTATCTATCATCTATCTATCGATCATCTACCTATCTATTTCTATCTATCTATCGATCATCTATCTATCTATTTCTGTCTATCTATCTATCTATCATCTATCTATCGATCATCTACCTATCTATTTCTATCTATCTATCTATCTATCATCTATCTATCTGTCTATCTATCGATCATCTATCTATCTATCTATTTCTGTCTATCTATCTATCTATCTATCGATCATCTATCTATCTATCTATCTATCATCTATCTATCTATCTATCTATCTATCTATCGATCATCTATCTATCTATCTATCTATCATCTATCTATCTATCTATCTATCTATCTATCGATCATCTATCTATCTATCTATCTATCATCTATCTATCTATCTATCTATCTATCTATCGATCATCTATCTATCTATCTATCTATCATCTATCTATCATCTATCTATCTATCTATCGTGTTTTAATAGTTAAAAAGGTTAAAATCGAGGACAATTATGATACAAGAGTAATTTGTAAATAGCACATATTTATCAAGACTCTGCAGCAGGTAGATAGGAGGCTTTATGTTATTTGTCACAATTGAAATTCGTTGTGTCAGTACATAAAATGAAAACATTGTACATCGGTCGCTCTGATAAAAGCATCTACCAAACGTATAAATGTGACTTGCGGTCACTGCATTAACATTTGATGGCGCGCCCTCTAATGGTGAACACGTTAAATGTTGTTGTGTTGCTTGGATACCTGATAAACTACAGCGACACATTAACATGAATAACCTACAGAAAACTGAGCATTAAGAGACGATTTGATATAGACGTGGAGCAATAACAGAGACACGTGAGTTTTTGTACATTGTGCCAGTTTACAGAGTGATATATTCTCATTTTTCTTTACAAAGAGAATGGTTGGCTTTAATTGCTTTACTGTCTACTGCTATAGCCATCATTTGATTTTGTGTCAGGATCAATAAAATGATAAAACATCTACAGGACTTGCCAACAAGGACTAATTTAGTCAGTCAATCAAATTGTGATTAATGTCTTATACCACTATATCTTTTCATGATCATATACTGTATATACACTGTTTTGTTAATTCATAACCAAAATGTTCTCTGTCTGTCTGTCAAACTCTGTCTGTCAGTATTCAGGTTTGACTGACAGCGGTTTGGCAATGGAGGAGTCTGTAATCCAGCAGCACCTCACACTCTAAACAGGCCACTGAGACGGTGCGTGAGGAGCTGGCCATCCTGCAGACCAAATACAACAAACTCCAATCACAGGTCCCTATATTCTCTGGTCATTTGTGGTGTTTTGGATAAGAATCGCTTTATGTATTCCCCAATTGTAAGTCGCTTTGGATAAAAGCGTCGGCAAAATGACTAAATGTAAATGTATTGTGACAAAATAAACACATTTTATGCATGCATCATATTAATGGAAAGTATTTCATTAAATATTAAGAGATGTTTACCATGTTCGTTGCGATAAATGAGACTCTGGGTTAATGGAAGTATGCAATGATTTGATGTGTTTACCCAGCTAACAAAAAAACGTGTTCTAAGGATGGTTAGCTAATGTTCCCATTAAGATAGAGAAATGTTGTTTCTGAATATTCTAAGAACATTCAAAACATCCAGTTAATGTTTTAAAATTTTAAACGTTAGTGAGAACACTAATGGAACATTCCATTTGATCCTTTTGCAAACATGGGAAGTTACTTTTGAATGTTCTCTGTATAAATACAATGTATAAAAAACATTTTTATTAAAGACCAGATCATTTTAAATTAACATTCTATTAATGTTCCTGGAAGAATGTTCATTCATAACAGAACCTAGTCAAGTTCTGAGAACATTCCCTGTTAACTGGGTAATACATCCCTGTAAATATTACGAGCAAATCAGTTCAGTGTTTAAACTGCGACTCCATCAGCAAATAGGTAAGAAAACAATTATGATTCACAATTAAACAAATTATGGTCATTCAGTCTTTAATTGTAATGAAAATCCTTATCAGCAGGTTATGTGTATATCATAGGTGTATTTTCATTGCGAAGGTTTCTTAGGCCTTAGCGAACTGTACATACATAAATATCCTTTTCTTTGATATCAGTGGTTTGCATACAGTGAAGTATATTCATGACACAGTTACCTTGAATATTACAGCAGGTTAGTTAAGATCAAAAATGAAAAAAGAAACAATGACTAATCCAATAAAATCGACGATTGTTTTAAAACCAAAGGATGAACACATGCAAAAACTACACATAAAAAAATAATTGCAATATAGAGTTCATAAATGTTTTATCTTCTCTTTTTTACAAGTTATTCATGTGATACAAGCAACCCAACACCTTTCAGTTTTTGCGCAATAAACTTGATCTTTCCATGATTAAAAAAGACCTGATTAACTCACAGTGAGTTAATATCCTACGCTCTAGTTTCCTCCTTCACATCAAACATGGAAGAACATCAGTAGCACTGACAACACTTGTCTGACAGCAGTTTTCAGTGCAATAGGCTTCGTTCTAACATCTACACGAGACTCAGAGTGACATACTGTAAAATTAGCAGCTGTATTTGCTGTACAAGGACACGATAATGGCTGCCAAACTCAACGGCAGTTGTCAATTTAGAGGGAAACCCGACGCTGAGCTGCCGTCTTAACTTCAAAGTGGAGCTCACATAGGCGGAGGCCCCTTGGTGTAGCGGAGCATTGGGTGGAAGGAGTGGGCGAAGTGGTTGAGTTGGGCACAGCTGTAGTGGTCCTCAGACGTAGGCACAAGACAGGCCACCACCAGCACCAGCAGCAGGAAGATCTGCAGCGGCAGTGCGGCCCAGAGGACACGCTTCAGGAAGGTTTTGCACCAGGATGGTGGTTCTTCCTCGTCAGAATGGGAGGAACCGGATCCAGCGGCGTTGCGAGACCTGCTATACATGAGACGGCACAAGAGGTGGAAACGCTCAGATGTAAAACTAGGTGAATGAGAGAAATTACACTGGTTATCTAGCTATTCCTAACTGTAGCTAAAGAAATGGGCTTTGTAGATTCACAAAAGACTCTTAAAATGAAAGGTTCACTGGATATTGGGCATTGATGATTCCATGAAGAACCTTTAAAGCTGCAGTCCGTAACTTTTTTGTGTTCAAAATTAACAATTGATATAATAAGCGAGTACACCATGAATCCAAAAAAAATCCATGTCCCAGTACCTGACTCGTCATAGACAAAAACAGAGAGAAGTAGCTCCGGCTACAATGTTCTTCCGCGAGACGCATGCAGTTCTGTTTATTAACCGCTAGAGTGCCAAAAGTTACAGACTGCAGCTTTAACATCCATGGAAAATTTTCATTCCACAAAAGGTTCTTTATAGTGGATAAAAAGGTTCTTCGTGGAACCAAAAATGGTTCTTCACTTGCATCGCTTCCCTTTTGGAACCTTTATTTTTAACAATAAGTAAATAGGCTTATTGGATGGAATTGCTATTTCTTGTACATATTTATCTTTGCCTAACACTGTTATATGACATTTGGGAACACATTAGCTGCCCAAGCTTGACACAGATAGAGTTAGTTTGAAGTCTTTAGTAGCATTTAAAAGCAAAAGGGCCATTTTAAGAGAATGTTTGTATTTATAAATATGCCTTTTTTGTTAAAGCGCTGTTAAGCAGAGAGCATGCTAACAGAAAAAACAGCTCAACAGTTTTCAGTTTAAGGCAGAGTTTTCATTAATATATAGCTATAGTTTCGGGGTGCTGTTGCCTAATGGTTAAAAATATGCTGGAAAAACTAAAATTCTGTATGTTCAAACCCAACAAGATGCAATTCACGAGTGATCAACATTGTGCTTTTAAGAAAGATACTTACACCTTGGTTACACCAGACAAGCTGACTGGAATAATCAGTCTACTTCACTACATTGCTTTAGATACAAATGATGATGTACTAATTATTTAATCTGGCTTCCTTGAATCAATAATTCATGAGTTACTCATCTTTACTGCAATTTAATACTGTATAGATCTTCTTCTAAGAAAGGTCTCCAAGATATCAAAAATATTATTTCATCTTTCTCTTTTTGTTTATATTATTAACTAAAAAAAAAAAAATCTTGTCCATAACCCACTGCATGCGGACACATGGGAAATCAGATTTTTTGCACCTATCAGAACAGTCCCACTGGTAGAGAGTCCTCTGTAACGCACGTCACGTTTCTCTAGCATGTCATCAAACTGCACGGATGGCACATTGGAGGAGGGAGAAGATGATTGATTAGTCAGTGAAAGAGCAGATGTGACACACCAGAGAGAGAAGAGAAAGTTGCCAAGATTGTTCATTGCAGACGCTTGCTGAATAGACAAGAAAAATTAATGGCTCAGCCGCAAGCAGCCTAGCGTATCCATATTTACAGCCGCAAAATATAGAAAACAAGCACGCTTTTGGTCTGGTGCATGAGCTCCCTTGGTAGTGTCTATCTCAGCTCCCTAAACTGAGCAGTGTCTAGAATCACAGAAGATGATGGAAGTCATCAGCATGAGCCTGTAGGTTGCTAATATTTCTGCATGCGTGACATGCTGCAGGTCTGTCAGGTTTGTAGGACACTGTCCACTTAGGGGTCAACCCAGAGCCATTAGAGCTAGGGGCCTACGGTCAGGTCATGGGTTGAGTTCCATTATCTTCCAAGTGTTCTAGAAACCAGGAGAAAGGTACCTGTGAAGTGGACTGCTCACACAGGCTCCGGGCTGTGACAGACTACTTTTGCCCCGTGGCTGTTTGCAATGAACAGGGGGGTAAAAGAAAGAAAGAATGTTTCAGTCCAGGCAAATAAAGACAAAGCTACTGATGAAAGAACCCCAAAAAAACGAAGAGCACCAACAAAATCAAATGAGGGGGTGACAGCACTTCTATGGAGACAAAGAAACTGGTTCTTCATGACACCCTTCTCAGAAAAACCACCTTACCAACAAGGGATCCTTTAATATTTGAAAAAGCTTTTAAAGGGCATTTCGTCTGTTTTCTGAGAATGTCACAGGTCATATTTTACCCAGGAAATTGTGTATTACATAAAGGCCATAATACAGGAAAAAGCTTTAAAATTATATTTTTTATTATTAGGAAAAAAAAAAATATATATATATATATTTTTTTTTTTGTATTATATTATATTATCATTAAGTATTATAAATATTACAAACAAAAATTAAGTAGCATGATAAGCTAATGATTGTAATTATTAGAATTTAATTCATATAATTATTAGAATTTAATTAATTATTATATTTTAATTATTAAACATTTTAAATATACATACATACATTACAGTGATAGTTTGTTGACTTATGCATCATTGTATTATTGTAATGAGAATCTGATGAGAATTCTTAAAAATAAAATAAAAAAATATAAAAAAACAAATAAAACATCTGGATGCATTACAGTAACAATGTGAGAGGAAAATGTGTTTGAATGTCATTATAATGTTTATAATCATTATAATCATAAAATGTTAATGGACCAAAAAAGCTTCATTTTCTTAATGCTAAATTTTGAGGTTAAATATGACCTGGACATGTTTTTTTTTTTTTCATAGAACCAGTATTCCTTGATGACTACAGTGTGGGAATCTAGAATAAACATGAATGTGGGAAATGAGTGGAGGAACAAACCAAGCCAGAATTTAGGGCTGTGATACGGGTGTGACTAGTTGTGTAAAAGATCAATCAATAGGATGTAGAAGCACAACAGGGACGAATCACATCTCCAGTTCTGATTCAGCTCTTGCATTAGAGGAGAGCATGCTGGGAAGGTCTTGAGTTTTGGAGGAACTCTGAGCATACTAATAAGGTGTCAAGTGTGTTTTTGGAGGCCAAGTTCCAGGTACATTCAAGTGTCAACCTATCAGCTCAACGTGACAAGCAAACACTGATCTCTGAAGGGCCCAACAGAACGTGAGGGTGATGTGTTACCGATCGCCGGCGGCTGGGAGTGCTGCGTCCAGACACGGGGCTCAGGGAACCGGAAGTGTCCAACTCATCAGCAGACGACCAAGATGACAAGTCCTACAGAGATTGTGTGTGATGAGGAGAGTTGGAGAAAGACAGTGTGAGTAAAAAAACTAGACAGACTGCACCATCAGGGTTATTGTAGTTAAACTAAAATTATAAAAAAATGTCACTTGGAAGAAACTTCAACTGAAATGAAAGGCACTATATAAATAAAAAAAAATAAATAAAAAAAATACAGTATATACAAAAATATACAACAAATAATCAAAAACTTATTTAATTTCAGCTAGTCGCCTATATATATAAAATGACAAAAACACAACAAAATGACTAAAAATGTAACTGAAATTAAAATGAAAACACAAAATATTGAAATAAAAACTAGTTCAAAATATTCATAAAAACAATAATAGTATCTCAATGATACTAAACACTGCTGCAAATAAAAAATTCTCAACCTTTTTGAATTGAAGATTTCAAACACAAAATTCAAAGCCCCCTATATAATATAATATAATATAATATAATATAATAAATTTAAAAATATACAGTGTATACAAAAATATACAACACATATACAAAAACTTATTTAATTTCAGCTAGTTTGCTATATATATATATATCAAATGACAAAAACATAACAAAATTACTAAAACTTTAACTGAAATTAAAATGAAAACACAAAATATTGAAATAAAAACTAGTTCAAAATATTAATAAAAACAATAATAGTATCTCAATGATACTAAACACTGCTGCAAATAAAAAATTCTTAACCTTTTTGAATTGAAGACTTCAAACACAAAATTCAAAGCCCCCTATATAATATAATATAATATAATCAGTCTATCAGTCTATAATCATTTATATTTACTTATTTATTAATCAATATAGGTTATACATTCATCTATAAACAAGGTAAATTAACCACAATTCAAGTTTCAAGAACTGTAATTGTATTGTATATTGTACTGTTCTAAAATAAAAAAAATTAAACGAAAAAGAAAAATGATTTCAGTTTATATTTTGATTTCATGTTTGTTTGCATGCATTTGTTAAGTTTAATTATTTCAACATACTATTACTATTAATGATAATAATAACAACAACAACAATTTCAGTCATCCTGTGGCCCATCCTTCTCCTGGCTGAGAACCACTGATTTAGAAATATTTGTGAATTTCATGTTTACAGGCACTAATATCATTTAGGTCAAACACAGGCAAACTGTGTGCATCAATGTTTTGTTGTGACAATGCTGGCGGTCAGTAACTCACCTGCTGACTGCTGCTGATGTCCAGGGTCTTCTGCAGCTCTCGGATGTCTCTCGTCACCTCCTTCAGCAACAGCTTGAGACGGTTCCCCATCACATGCACCTTCTCTTTGGCTTCCAGACAGTCACTGCCCTCCGAGTGGACCAGCAGCTGAAGGGACATGTCCTGCAGGGACGCCACCTTCAGCTGCGTGTCCAGCAGCTCCCGGCGGATTTGCTGCAGAACAATCAGTGTTGAATCAAAACAAGCCGTGCAAGCTGTACCAACAGAAAAGAGAAATAATTTACCAGAAGCGTTTTGTGATGCTCCTGTAGGGTATCGCTGTCCTGAGTGTGGTCAATCGGGACGATCTCATTCCTCCTGCGATCGATGTTCTCCAGCCACAGAAGCAGACCATGACTCATCTCATGGAAGTCCTGAAGATTAGGAAAAGGTCTGTGATTTTAACCCCTCAACATTGATGAAAGCAGAATTTCTGAATGAGTATCTTCTGATAACAGCTTCTTGCCTGGCACTGCAAGAGCGCGTGCTGGAGCGCGTTCCTCCACTCGTCCAGAGAGCTGCTGAGACGCTCCCAGCGGTTATTCATCTCCTTCAGCTGTCGCTGCAGGTCTCGCGCCTCCTCGCTGTCCGACTGCACAAACTCGGCGCTGCAGAGGTTAATGGACAACACGATGGCCTTGCGCTTATCCAGAGCCTTCTGCAGCTCCTGCGCGGAGTCCCAGGTCAACAGAGAAAAGCATCAATGCCACAATACAATAAACAAGCTGGACAACCAACAAAGAAACGACAACAGTGGTTCAAAGGATATCATGGCATTAGTGTTATTTTAGTATTATTACTATTACAATACTTCTTCAAACTTTGAATGACCTTTTATTTTTAATTTTATAATTTAGTTTTGTTTGTTTTACTTGGACAACCAACAAACAATAAAACAAAGAAAACGCTATAACAGTGGTTCAAAGAATACCATGGCATTAGTATTATTTTAGTATTTTTTATATACTTTTACAGTACTTATTAATATTTTTTAATAGCTTTCATTTTTATATTTTTTATATTTTTAGTTTTCATTTTAATTTTAGTTTAGGTTTATAATCTGTGTTTTTCTCATTATTATGATTTTTTTTGTATTTCTATACAGCTTTAATTTATTTTTATTGCAGTTTTCGTAATCTAGTAAGGCAACATTTCTAATTAAGTTTTTTAAATTGAGGATTTCAAGTTTAAGATTTTAAGTTTAGGATGTTCAGTATTAAGGATTTTCAATATTTATATTTTATTTCAATTACTGAAAATTATTTTTAATAGTTTTAGTTAGTTTCATTGAAGTTTATGATGGATAATCAACAAACAAGAAAACAAGAAGATTTTAGTTTAAGTTTTAGCAATTTTGTTATGTGTTTCTGTCATTTTTATATATAATATATAATTATGTCTTATTTAATACTGCTATATAGCAGGGGTGTCAAGCTCAGGCCCTGTCCACATGAACGCGGTTATTTTTTAAAACCGCAGCTTTTTCTACGTGGTTAGGCCGTTCGTCCACACGCAAACATAGCACCAGTTCACTGAAACCAAACATTTTTGAAAACGCCTGCCAAATGCTCTTGACAGTGCTTCATAGCATGCGTTTTCATGTGGACGGAGATTTTTTTAAAAACGGAAGGAAAAACTTTTATATAACGTTTATAAAAATACCCGTATACGTGTGGACATGGCCTCAGTTCCTGGAGGGCCACAGCCCTGCAGAGTTTAGCTCCAACCCTAATTAAACACACCTGATCCAGCTAATCAGGTCCTTCAGGCTTATTTGAAAACTACATGGGTATGTGTGTTGGAGCAGGGTTGGAACTAAACTCTGCAGGGCTGCGGCCCTCCAGGAACTGAGTTTGACACCCCTGCTATATAGCTTCAATGTGTCAGTTTTGAGTCATTTTAGCACTTAGTAACAAATAGTTTTAGTTATGATTAACAGCGCTGGAGTGTCTGACCTTGAGTTTCTTGATGCGTAGCTCGATGGTCTGTATGTCCGTGCTGAGGTCCAGTCCCCGCTGCTGCTCCAGCTCTTCTTCTGCCTGGTCCAGCCAGCTGCAGATGCTGTTCAGGTCAGAGTTGAACTGCTGCCACTGCTGCATGTTCTGCTTCATGCGCATCTCTTTACTGAGAGCCTGAGCCTGCAGCAGCTCCCAGCGCTCGATCACACCTGCACAACACAGACGACACAAATGCATCTGGGTCACACTTTATAGTAGCTGTATTCAAAAATACACATTATATAATGCATCAGACAAAAGAAAATCAAAATGCATAATTTAATAAAATGTTCCTTTTATTATAAAATGCATGCTATTCTAAAGAGAAGTGTTTTTCTCATCCAAAATATAGCTTGATCATAATGAAAGCTGCATCTTCATGATCAGATGCAAGTCTCACTCAATACTACTACTGAATATTAATTTTTTAAATTGAATTTAAAACATTAAAAATAGTTAAAATTTGTTATGAAACTTTCATATTCTACCTTTCCTCCTAGCCAATCTTTTATGCAACATATAATGTTTATAATGACACACTATGGCTTATATACTATCAGCATTAATTTGAATGAGAAGTTTTAAGACTGCATGTATTTATGTGCATGGCTCAGAATATTATCTGGTTTTGTACCTGAAGTTTGGGACTCTGAGCTGTTGGGGTTGACGAAACCTGATATCTTGTCTTCCTCTTCTTTCAGCTCAAATCCTACTCGCTTTACTGCGTCTATACTGCCACGACATTCTTCAAGAAGACGCATCTGACAGAGAAATAAATATAAATTAATTTAGCAAATGCTTTCTTATTCAAACCAGTGACAATTCCCCTAATATAGTCCTATATAGATTATTACTCACATAACCCATGTAGGTGGCGTCCAGCTCAGGGCCGGTGGGAGTCCGGCTGCGTATGATGTTCTCCGTCTGCTGCAGATGGAAGCAGCTGGTGTTTAGAACTTTATCCAGCTGTCTGATGTGAGTCTCCAGTGATCCAGCGTCACCTGTAGAGGAACATCACATTAGTTATCAATGGAGGAACAACAAGAAGTTGCTCTGAGCTGCGTTTGGAACCGTGTTCTCTTTCTCAGGCCTGATGCAGTGCATGATCAAGAGATGGACGTCACATGATTGCTTTCTCATTAGTCAAACATACTAGGTGCTTCTAATCAAATGTATCATTAGTCAAAGCAGTTTACAATCAGAGTGAATATATGCACTGCTCTTCAGGATGGCATCTAATACAGCACTTTTAAAAATGTTTGTTCACCTTTATTTATCCAGGCAATTCGATTAGGAATTGTTTTCTTATTTACAAATGGAGATTTGATCGTGATAGACCGATTAATTGGATGATCATTTTGAGCGGGTCACTTGTGTTTTAAAATCTGCTGACCTAAAGCTTTTTTGCATTAACATATTTTCATGGCAATTTACTACAGAATTATCATTAATAGAATATGTCCATTCTCATTACTGTGATGCAAAAATATTATTTAAATTTTGCACTTTTAAAAATGCACAAAACGCTATTTTAAACCAGTGTTGATACTATTAACTAAAACTATAAAAAATGTTTTTTTTTTTGTTAATTGAAAAGAAGCTGAAAAAAATAGAAATATTAGATGAAAAACTTTTAAAATAAGAAATGTTGCTTTGACAACTGACTGAAATAAAATGTTGAAAGTATTAAAATTATAACAAAAAAAAATTCAAGCTAAATAAAAACTAATAAAATGACAAAAACATAACAAAATGACTACAACTTAAACTACTAAAAGAAACACTGGAAATAAAAAGTAAAAGCTAAATCAGAATATTAATAAATACTATAATAGTATACATAATAATAAAATAACAGATTTAAACAAACATCCAGCAATGTGAATCTAATTACAAAAAATATTCAGATGTTTAACAGTAAATGAGAATTTCAGGGGGGAAATTGCTTTATAATTTAAAAATGTAAAAACATTTGAATTGGTCCAAAAATTAGGCTTCATTTTCTTTATGTAAAAATATTTTTCTGTGATTTCAGATTCAAATTTGACCTTGATATGTAAAATTATTCCTTTGGACCTGTGTGACCATTAAAAAAATCCACATGGGCCATACTAATAATATTTGATTTTAAACCACTTGATTTAAAAGGATTTTATTTTTTGTAACTCACAATTTTCTCTGATTGCAAAATACTGTGAGTAATGCTGTTGATTTGGCAAATCCATAAGCATTAGAAACCAAGAACAAACACCAGAGTGAAGTCAGTGGGCATCAACCTGTGACACTACATGCAAACACTGGAGAACTGATTATTATAGTTAACACACTGTGTGAAGCACAAATCAAACGAGAAGGGTTAGAAAACACAGCCGATGTGTGCTTTGATTCGGTTTGTGAGTAGAAACTAAAGATCACAATCTCAGGCAACAGACTAGTGAGTGAGTCTCAGATTTCGGACTGCTGTTGCCTACCAGCGCTGGACCTCAGAGTTTGCTCAGTAAGTTTGAGATATGCCTCAGGACTCTCTGGAATCACTACATCTGAAAGAAACATATACATGCATACAATACAAACATGATTGAATGCTGAACCCCACTAAAATCATCTTCTACAGCCACCAGTTTATTCTCTCTCTTCTGTTTATAGGACGAAAGATCTCACACTGACCTGAGAGGGCGGACGCTGAGCCCTGCAGGTATCCATCTTCTCCCTGATCTCCCGGTTCAGAGGACAAGGCTCTGCTGGCGCTCTCCAGACCCCGGCTCAGGTTGTAATCGTGGTCCCACTCCAGAGGGATGGAGTCCACGCTGGCTGGAGTGTCTCGGCCCGAGCGTTCGGCCCGTAGAGGAGCGGCCAGTGACACAGAGCGACTGGACGAGGGCAGAGGGGACAGAAAACCATCGCCCAGACGCTCACTCCACGGAAAGCTGGACACGTCAGCAGGCTCGTCCAGATCAAACTCACGGTCCGAGTATGAGATGTCATGTTCATCGTCTGTGAGCTGGATAAAGAAGAAGAATTCACAGTGGTTTTTGGGATCCAAACCTTGACTAAATTGATTAAAGAGGATGAAATAAAATGTCAAAAAATGCTAAACAAAATGTGTGCATATAAAATGACTGACTGAACGAATTGATAAATAACAAGTAAACAAAAAAAAGCCAATATAAATTAAAATGGTATATTTAAATATGAAAATAAAATAAAATAGACTGAACAAATGAATGAATGAATAAGGTAAACAAATAAAAGGTAAATATAAATAAATATTAAAATAAATATGAAAAAATCGAATAAATAAATGAATAAATATATAAAGATATAAATAATAGTAGTAGGGCTGGGCGATATGGCCAAAAAAATGATCACGGTAATTTTTTTTCATATCAGTCGATATCGATAATTATCACGGTATATGTCAAATCTTTAATTCTTTCAAGTTTAAAGCCATATTTTTGCTCCAAAGTGAAAGTTGTAGAAACCAGACTGTTAATTTTCCTTAACAAAATAAATATCTTAATAGACAAATTTATTTCTTAGTTTCTGCATGTTTTGCATGTGATGTTGTTTCAAATCATAATATTTATTAATAATATTTTTTTTATATTAATATTCTCTTAGAAATGCACATTTGACAGTAGTAGTAGCTTGAGTTAAGATGCAGATGTAAATTTTTATAGTAATAAAAATAAAAAACAATTATAGTAATCATAATAAATCAAAAGGTAAATGTAAATAAAAATGGTACATATAAATATTAAAATAAATAAATGTAAATATAAATAAATATTAAAATAAAATAAAATAAATGAATGAATGAATTAATAAATAAATAAATATAAACATACACAAATGTAAATATAAATATAAAGATAAACAAATATGAAAAAATCTAATAAATGAATGAGTAAATAATTAATAAATATATAAAGGAAGTCATAAACAAAAAGGTAAATATAAATGAAAATGGTACATATAAATATGAAAATAAATATAAACAAAAAACAAACAAATGTATAAATAAATAAATAGGTATGTAGGTACATATAAATAAATCTGAAACAAATTGAAAAAGAATGGAAGAGAACTCCAATATCAGTCAGAAAAAGCATCTGCTGTATTTAAAGTACCGGTAATCGTATAAGTTTCTTGTAGTAGCGCTCCACACGTCCAAACACTTCCTGGCAGTAACGCTGCAGTTCTTCAAGCTCTTCCTCCATCACAGCAGCATCTATCGGCTCACTCTTTTCCAGAAGAGCTTCACCCTGCTGGAATATGTGGTCAATCTTGGCTGTGTTCAGAGTGATCTCCTGCTGGAACGCCTGGACGCAGAAGAGAACCTTCATCAGAGAAAGACACAGGAGATACGGAGAACACATGCAGTAATAAAGGCCAGAGACGTACCCTCAGCTGTCTGATTTTGGCCTGGACATCACACTCGGAGAAATGCTCAATGTTGGTTAACTGCAGGTCCATCTCTGTCAGCCAGACCAGGATATAGTCTCGTGCCGTCTCAAACTCCTCCCGCTGACATATAAAGTGCTGCGGTGGACATAAAAAATGCTTCAAAAATCAGATTCAAAATAAAAGCCCACTTGCATTTAATAAAACCATTAAAGGGGTCATATGATGCTATAATTATTATTTTTATTGTTAGTACAATATTTAAAAGTTATATTAAACTATTTATTTTAAATAAATACAAAATTTAAAAGTTAAACTATATTTCCAAGAAATGGTTATAATTAGTGCGGGACATTGTTATGCATTTGATAAATTATCTTTGAATTAACTTCTGATTTTAATGATCAGGTAAAAAACAAAGACAGAAAGTTCTTTCACAGATTTGTGTTATTATAATATGTATCAAAGTGATGACTGTCTAAGCATCAACTGAGTATAAATGGTGGTGTAAAAGGAATCCATCAGCTCTGTACCTTTAGCCTGCGTAGGACAGATGACACTCGTCTCTGCAGGTTCTCCCAGCGCTGGTTGGCGTTGTGGGCCATTTCTCTCAGATTACAGGCCGCGTCGGTGCGATTCTCACGTGCCAGTCGCTGATACCGTTTATTGATCAGCTCTAGCTGCGTCAAACTTTCATGCACCTGCCGCTGGAACGTCTACAGAGACACAGAGCGTTAATATCATAAATCTGTTCAACAATACTACATTCATTCTGGATGATCTCACCTCAAATTTCTTGAGCTCCTCTTTGGCAACAGTGTAAAGGACACCTGAAGAGTTTGGCAGCGCGGCTGTCTTCTCCGACAACATGAGCCACTCCTCAAAATGAGAGTAGTCATCCAGAAACTTCTGCCAGAGACGCCACGTCTCCTCAATCCTTTCAGATGAGCAAAATTTAGGTTTACATTTGTCATTTAGCACAATTATTGTATAAAACTATTAAAAAATCAATAATTTTCATTAATTGAAATAAAGCTGCAATAAAGCTGAAATAGATTAACATTAAAAAATATAAAATGTTGAGCAAAATTTGTTTAAATTTGTCATTTAGCACAATTTTTGTATTAAACGATAAAAAATAAACTATGAAAATAAAATACAAAATATAAAATAATAAACAAAATTTAGGTTTAAATTTGTCATTAACCACATGAACAACACAAAGGTGTATTTAGCATTGTTATCGTTAACTTTAAGTATAAATAAAACTATTAAAAATAATTTTCATTAATTGAAATAAAGCTGCAATAAAGCTGAAATAGATAAAATAACAACAACAAAAAATGTATAAAACAAAATATAATATAATATAAAACAGGACAAACTAAAATTAGAAATGTTGCTTTGGGAACTAACTGAAATAAAACAAATTTAAGTTGAAGTGCTAAAATTTGTAAAACTAAAACGGAAATAAAAATAAAACAAACTCAAATTAAATATAAAAATAAAAGGTATGCGGTGCGATTCATGGGTCATACCTGAGTCTCCTCTCCATGGACATGGCACAGATGCTCCTCCAGCGGCGGTCCAGGCTGTGTGTGGCCTGCTGGATGGAGTCACACTCGGCGTCTGTAGCACACGCGTCACAGTCGTGCAGCAACACCTCACACAGGTTCAGCACAGACGCCACACCTGTGCTGTGCTTCTCGATGTCTCTCTGCAGCTCCTGAATGAAGGACACAATAATGTTTTATCTGAACCAAACAAACAAAATGCTTTTTGATAATTTCTCAATCATCTCTTCGATGCTGATGTCTCCATTCTGGGATACTTTGCTTTCCATTTGCGTCAGCCATTCACACAGCTCCTTATATTTATCATTGAAGATGGCCCATTCATTCAGCTTCTCACTCGCCTGCTGCCTTCGCAGACACAACTGCACAGACAAATACACAAAAACATTCGCCTTCAGTAATTTCAAAATATGGTTGAGCATTTAAATCAAATCTCAGTAGATTCAATTTAATATTTAGCCACAACGTCTCTCTGTATCTCTATAATGTGCAAAATTAAAGTGTAAATAAATACAGTTACACATTCCCAAAACCATATTGAAGGAAAGGCAAAAGCCTTACCAGAGCATCAGTAAAAATACAGCATGAGTGAAGAGTTTCTGACAGCCTGTACCTACAGTTAAATGTCTCTACTGAGATATCAAACGTACGCTCACATCCTGTGGTGTCTCAGCTCACGCACCGGATGCCACAAACACAGAAGGTGCATAAAACTCTTCATGCTTCGCATTCAAGTTTCACTTTGAGTGCTTTGCATTGCTCTCTACTAGCAAAAACATACGATAATATGTTCTGCAAAACAAACTCTGATGCAGTGATTTTAAAAATGTTATAAAACCTAATGAACTTCCTATGGAGCCCAGAGAGCATTAGTTTGAATGTGCCTATATGATGTCTAGGAAGGTTTTGAAAGCAACAATGCAGGCATATGTAGTGAAACAGCGCCACCTAACGGCCAGATGTTTCTGAGTGTACCTGGTGACAGATCTCCTCCCACTGGCGGTGCAGGAGTTCAATGCGTTCCTGCAGCACACGCAGATCCTCAGGACTGATGTAACTGGACAGAGACTCTCTCAACACCGTCAGATGGGTCAAATCCTCCTTCCAGCCGTCAAACATGCTCTCCAGATCCTGCAGGATGTGGGCGTTTATTATTTCTCATCATTTCACTGTTATTCAGTTTCCCTCACTGAATCTGAACTCTGTATACCTTGCAGCGCATTTGTTCAGACTGCAGCTCCTCATTGCGATCTGGAAGCGGCTGGGACAGCTGGCGTTTAAAAGCTCTTAGTTTCTCTAGAGATCCTCCGATACCTTTTTCACATCTCTCCCAATCCTACACACAGTTTGAAACAAGTCAAAGTGGTTTCTGGGTACATAAAAGATATTCTGAACAATTACAGTATCATGCATTGCTCTATCATCTGAAAACAAGCTTTAAACTCATTAGGGTAGGGATGTAGACAAACTCATGCAGACATTTGTTTGAGAGCAAAATAACTACTGGAACCACTAGAAAGATATATTTGACAGAATTAGGGTGACAGTAAAAGTACAATACAATTTAGAATAAACTAAAACACCCTATTTTAGAATTTTTTATTTAACTAGTGAAATCTCTCTCTCTCTCTCTCTCTCTCTCTCTATATATATTAATTTTCCATTTTCATCTGAATTTTAGTTACATTTTTAGTAATTTTGTTATGCTTATGCCGTTTTTAATTAGTTTTTAAATATGTCTGAATATTGTTTTATTAATTTTTACTTTACGTTTAAACTAAAAAAGGCTAAATGAAAACAAGAAATATTGCTTTGGCAACTAGCTTAAACAAAAAAATCTAACTCTAATCTAAAATATAAATCTAATTTTAAAATTTTATTTCAGGTAACAAAAGTTTTTTTGTTTTCAGTTTTAGTTGACTATAATAATAGTGGTATTTTAGTATTTTGTTTAGTATTTTAACTTTTATTTTAATATTATTATTATTAACTAATATTTATTAAAAGATTTTCTACAGAAAAAAAATTATATATATATATATATATATATACGCTTTCATCAATTTCCAGACTTGAAAATTACAATTAAAAATATTTCCTGATATTTTACATTTTTTCTTGTGGGATGGATGACTCAGTTTTAAGAATATTCTGAAAGAAAAGAATCACTAAACCTATCCAGACATGTAGCAATAAAGTCCGCAAATGAAGAAAACAGGTGGAGCTGTGACACAAAGATCTGTACCCTGAGCAGGATGGCCAGTTCTTTCTTTTGTTCCTCCAGGCAGATGTTGGCGTGTTTCCAGCGCTCCTGTATGTCGAGCAGCTCCTCTTGTAGAGCGGTTTCGGCTCGTGTGTCAGCAGACAGAAGCAGCTGTCTCCCTGCCTCCACCGTCAGGATGTAACTGCCCTGCTGCCTCAGCAGAACCTTCTCCCTCAGCTGCAGGATCAACAGAGCGTCAGCAGGGGGCGCTAACAGCCAGCACAAAAGCATATTAGGTCAAACAATACTTGCCTGAACTGCATCCAGCATGGCTCGTGCCTGTTGGAGTGGCACAGGTGTGCCAACCTGCAGGGTTTCGGCCTGATGGGACGCTTCCACCAACCACTTCCTCAGCTTCTCCACCATCTCCCTGTAGCGCTGCCACTGCCGCAGGAGACTGTCTATGATGCCCCTGCGCTGCTGTGCCCGTCTCACCACCCCCTGCCACTGGTTACTCAGCAGAGCCAGCTTCAGCTTGAACTCATCTCTGGAGACACGGTCAGTTTCGATATGAGCATTCAGTCTGTTCAGGTATCTTGAATGCTAGTATCTTGCATATGCATATATCCGATGCTGATGATGATGATGTCGCTCACCTGTAGTCCACCTGTCCCTGCTCCAGCATGCGTTGCCCATCGCTGACGATAGAGTGAAGGATCTGCTGTCTGCTGAACATCTCTGCCTGAAACAGCTGTCACATTGCTCATTTATTAGTATCTAGGCTAGGTTTGCAACTCCTAATTTGCTTTTGTATGCCTCACCTCATGAGCTCTCTGCTGCTCCATCAGGCTCTGGAAGTTTCCGGAAATCTCCACGGCCAGTTTCTCCTCCGTCTGCACCAGGAACTCCATCCACGTCTCGCACTTCTCCAGAAAGGTCTGCTGCTGTAGTAGCAGGGCCTGAAGTTTACTGAGAAGAGAATTTAGACATCCTTTAGAAGGTAAACAGACACTCAGACAATATCTACTGTAGTACTATGCATTTCCATGAAGGTCTTTACAAAGTCCAAAAAGAGCCATGCAGGGTATTTAAGAAAGTTATGAGAAGGAAGTATTCAATAATGATATAACCTCTCTTTATAATGAGCTGGAGCAAACCTGAATCTCTCAGTGGTCTGAGCTGAGGTGGTGGAGCAGCTTCTGTTGAGGTTCTGCATGCGTTTGATCTCAGAGTCGTTGAGAGGGAGTCTGTAACCCAGTTCATTCAGCCTCTCCAGATCAGGAGCCATACTGCTGAACTTCAGCATTTGTTTCTGCACAAAAAATAAAAAATAAAATAAACAAAAACATTGGTGGTCAATTAATATATTAGTCAGGTCATTTTAAGTGATTGCACATTTTCGGTTTATATTGATCAAAAAAAAAAAAGTGAATCAAATGAAAACTGCTTTAATTTTTTTCTTACATAATTTATGTATATGTACAGCAATTTTGTACAAAAATAATTGAGTATTTAAGAAAAAAAAAAAATTGGAACAAAGGGTTTTTAACAAATAGAAACATAAATTCAATCAGCTGTGTCCAATATTTTGACTTCCAGTGTACATATCGACCACCCTGATCCTGGGTTATTTTGGTGTTATTTATATACTACTATAGTATTTTGAATTAGCTTTTATTTTTCAGATTTTAATTGTGGTTTAATTTTGTTACGCGAGTTAATGATTTTAATACATTTTTTTATTATTTTTTTTTATTTCAGTTTTAGTTTTAGTCATTTTAATATTTTTATTTTAGCTTTATTTTAAGGTTATTTTGGTATTATTTATATACTACTGTAGTATTTATTACTATTTTGAATTAGCTTTTATATTTAGATTTTCAGATTTAAATTTTAAGTAATATTATGTGCTTTAATGATTTTAATTCATTTTTTATTCATTTTTTATTTCAGTTTGAGTAATTTAATATTTCAGCTCAAACAGCTAGTTGCCAAGGTAACATTTCTAATCTTTTATTTGTAATTTTTCATCTTATCTATTTAGGTTTTATTTTATTTCAGCTTTATTTCAATTCATGTAAAACAAAATGAATTCGTTTTAGAAAACAATAACAACACTGATCTGATCTTTGCATATTTCAGGCATCCCAGCATAATTGATCTATTCATTCTTGTATACCTTGAGTTCCTCCATGCGGTCCCGGATCAGTGACTGGTCAGAGGAACCGTTGGGATCCTGAGCTTTCAGAACCTCCTCAGCTTCCACGATCCAGCGGGACAGAGAGTCCAACTGCTCATTAAACGTCTCATAGTCGCGAACCCCAGCCTGGGGAGAAAAACAACCCTCAGTGTCAAACACTAAAACACTCTCATAAGCCACTTCAATGCTCTTCTTCACTCACCTGCAGCGCCACCTGCTGTCGGCTCAGACTCTGCTCTACAGCACTGAGGCGCTGGGTGAGAGACAGGTGGTCAGACTGGATGGAGGCCGCAGCTGATGTGTCCACCTGCTGTTTGAGCTGCTCTCCCAGCTCCAGTAAAACCTGCAGAGACACCTGGACGGGAGCCTGAGAGCGCAGCAGCTCCTGAGGGAACATGGGATGAGAGTAAATTACTGTACTGATTACACTAAGTACTGATTATGAAATAAAAAACATTGACATAAGTAGTTGCTGTTCAGAATTTAGTGAACACTTAGGATCCACAAACACTATTCACAAACCATTTCTGTATTCTACAGGGTTTACAATAGTAGATTTAGAGCTCTAAATCATAAATAATGTCCAGATATTCTTAATGCTTCATAAACGTATCTATAATGCCATATACTACACATATTACTTTTTTTGTAATTATTTTTGTAACAACTATAACCACAGCTGCAATGCATAATACCTAACTTACTCATGGTAACCATTCTTAAATGTATAATGCATGATATGATTTATTTTTTATAGCATTGATCATGTGTTTTAATGCATTATAATACTTAATACTTAGTATTATGTAGAGATAAAGTATTAAAATGTAGTATAAGTCATGAGAGCATACAACTCACTCATTAAACTCATTAAAAATAATTATGAATTAATTAAATGCATATACAACTTGGATTGAGATGAACATGATTCTACATTCTCAATAAGGGTGAATATGAAACAGAAACCGTTGCTGTTTAGAATTTATGATTAGTGCATTAGTAGAATACACAAACATTTATGAGAGTATATCACACAATTGAATTTAAGGCATTACATCTAAAAAAAAAAAACATTTAAAAATTGATTAAAATTAATTAAAAAATAATTATTAATGATTTTAAAAACAATTGGATGTGGGTATCAATGATACTCTTGACTAACCACAGAATATATCAGATAAAAGAAGTAACTGATCACTTGTAAGATATGCAAATATTGTCAAGTTCACTTATAAAAATAAAGTTTTGTTGCTACAGTACACAATAACAATAATTGTTATGAAAGTGAACAATGAACCTGTAAACAATCTGTAACACAATACAATGAGGTCTCATTAGCATTAACTCACAAACTAAAAAACAAAGTTTTTGCAGCATTTATTAACATTTGTTAAAGATAATGTTCATGTTAGTACATTAACTAATGTTAATGTTAACAGATACAACTTTTGAAAGTGTTACCACATAATCATAATCAATATTACACTCACAGCACAGTCTTGAATCCAGGTGGACACGTCCTCCTCTGTGATGTCTTTGTGGCTGGTGGTCTTCAGCATCTGGTTTGCTCTCTCCTCTAGTGTCTGGATGCTGGAGTCGCTCTGTCCATAAAGATCTTTATAGCTCTGCCACAGCTGCAGGAGAGCCTTACTGCTCTTCAGACGCTCCACGATCTCCTCCTGCAGACTGTTCCACCTGAAGACCACAAAACCCACACACACTTCTATTACATCAACCTCACTCACAAAGCCAAAATTACTTTGCATTTGCAAACTAAAATGCCTGCAGTTTGGATTACAGACATGCATTTTTTAGTTGATATGTGTGTCTTAGACTCAAGTTAGGACTATAATTATAAACAAATAAACATTTACAAAAAAAGTACTTTGAGTATTATTGTACAAATATATATATACTTAATAAGATGAAAAATGGACCTGGCGTTAATGTCTTTTAGTGTGTTATTGAGTGTGTCAGACACAGACGGGTGACACTCCTCCAGAAGCTGATGTGTAACTGATCCAAACTTCCTCAGACTGCTCTCTTGTTTCTCAAGCTCCTCCTGCAGGTTCTACAGATGTCCGAGGAAACAATATGAGACCATATGAAATCCATGATTTGCAAATGAACTGGAACTTGCTTTACCTGTAGACTCTCCACCTGTAGCCGCGAAGCCTCCAGAGATCCTGTGAGCAGACGGTAGCGGGACACAGAGTAGCGTCCCTCCGTCAGGTAGCCGTTGATCTCTTCAGACGCTTGTTTGTATTGACTCCACTTGTCCTGGACAGACTTCAGACTGATCTTCAGCTGTCCGATCTGAGACACAGCAATCCAAATACAATTTACATGCAGAGACCCACATATAAACACTGTAACATTTAAAGAGACTTATAGAATCACATTAAAACAGTAAATACCAGGTGGTCCAGATTGGCCCATGTGTTGTTCAAGACTTGTAGAGACTCCATGACAACAGCACAGGCCTCGTCGGTTTTATTTTGGACGAGAGCACAAGCCTGTTCTTCCACTCTCTCCAGCTCCCTCTCCTTCTCCTTCATCATCTCCTCCATCTCCTGAAGTTACATGTCAGAAAAAGAGAGAAAATCTGTATTCCAGTCACGGAGGTCATGTTGAATAAAATAAGACTGCGTGTTTGGTCAATGGGTCAAACCTGGCAGTCTTTAAGTGCATTCTGCACAGAGGATAAGTTCTCAATCCTGTGCTTCGTCTTGAGTCTGTCCTCCTGAGCGTTCAGCCATGCCTGAAGAGTCTGAACTTTACCCTCATATTCAACCCAGGATTCCAACAAGTATTCCAGATACTGTACCTGAAACAACAAAAATTTACATTTAACAACACATTTATGCAATTATATGATACAATTTAATTGAGCAATTATGTACCAAATAGTAACACTAATTATTATAAATCTTTATGTAATCACAATTTAGTATGCAAATATTACAATGACATCATCGCTGGCACACACTAAAAATAAATAAATAAATAAATAAAACACTATTACAGTGGTTCTCAACCAGAGGGCCTCTCATAAACCTTCCAAGTGGCCATAGGATGACTAAAATGCTAAATTAATAATTACTAAAAATGCTTAAAAAAACAAGATAAACTGAAATCGTATTTATTTTTTATATTGTATTATATTGTTATAATATAATATAATATAATATAGTTTATATTGTAGAACATGCTGTTTTTGAAACTTCTGGAAACAAAAAATAAATTGTGGATAATAATATTTTTTTAAATATTACATTTTTTAATATCCAAATATCAATTTTTTTATATAAATTGTATGTGTATGTGTTATATATATAAATGTACAAAAAATTACCTATATAAACACCCCCCCACACACACACACACATAAATGAAAAACTTTTCATTTTAATCTTAAAAATTTCCTAAAAGTATATAACATGTAAAAAAGAAATATGTATAGAACAGCTCAGAATGAAATTATCTACCAAAAGTCTGAATAGAGTTTGAAAACTGTATATAGTATGTATGAGCTGCATCTGGGGCCTCATTTATAAAATGTTGCGCAGTTTGAAATATATGTACGCATAGAAAACCCACATACGCCTCTCTTTCAGATGTGAAATTATGAATCGCAAATGATCTTGAACTTGCGCGCAACTGAATAGTTTCAGCTCTCTGCCTTGTAAACGACTCCTAATTCATGTCATTAACATATAAAAGATCACCAGTCATCGTCCAAATCCTTTCATTTAGAACAGCGAGCTGCAAGAACAGCTTACATTTCCAAAAACCTGCAGTACTCCGACAAGAAAAAGTGTGTACGTCTGCTCAGACCCTAATGTGACACTTGTCACTTTTCCACGTCAATGGCAGTTTTGACAAATATGGGCGTTGGTGTGGATTTAAGCGTACGCACACTTTATAAATGAGGCCCCTGAAGTCTCACCCTCTCAGTGATACGTGTCTGCAGTATCTGCCAGTGGCAGTTCATGGCGCCCAGTTTCTCCGCAAAATCTGTTTTATCGCTGCGTTTGCTCTCCACATCCACACCACTGATCTGGAGCACTGACTGATTCACAAAGTCCACAGTCAGCTGTTTGCAGTTCACATCCACTCTGAAGCCCTACAGAAAGTAAAAGACAACAGCATGGAGAAAACAGTTAGCAAAACACATACAAATTCATAATTACTCTTGTGTAGCTAGACTTCTGATGATCGCCATAAAATCCAGTCCAACCAATAAATTAATTTGGAAAAATATTACTCACTTAAATACTATAGACCTTTTGTAGACTCTAACAGGAGTAAAACAGTAAATGCTGTCACCTTGTATCGCTGCAGGTACTCCTGGATGACCTTTGACCCAACAGCCCCTTTGAGATTCTCCTCATCCTCTTCTATGACTCTCTCCATCAATGACATCCAGTTCACAAGCTCAGCGATAGCGTGATGGGATGCCAGCTTATCCATCTGAGACTAAAACAACAAACAAAATATCTTTAAAAAACGATAGACTAAGAAAGATCTGACCAATGAACCCCAGAAGTGAAGCTAATCTTATGTATCGGAGCAGATAAGCCTGTTTAGTGAGCAGTCAGTACCTGGTGGAGTTTTTCTTGAACTACAGGAATGCGGGCAAGCAGTTCTGACCACTGAGAGTCCAGACGGGCGAGTTCAGACCGCAGAGACGCGGTGTCCATCTTCTTGAGTCTGAGCAGCTGGTTTCCCTCATTCAGCACCGAGGCCTTCAGACTGGAGCGGCTCTCCACCTCCTTACTGAACTCCTGTAGAGAAGAAAAGACGACACATGAAACGACCAGTATCTTGTGGTTTCTGGAATTACTTCCTTATAGGCATGCAAAGATATAAATAATTATTTAATAATTAATAATTATTAATTATTAATTAAAGCTTCTTTTGAAACTATTTTCATTGGCAAAAACATCGAACTGTGAAAACGAATGATTATATTATAATTATATATTAATAAAAAATTAAATAAAGCACAAAAAAAACATAAAATTACATTAATTAATAAATGAAATAAATATGGTCTGAGACACTGGGATAAAAAAATAAAAACAAAACAAGTTAAAAAATAAAATAAAAAATACAATAAAATAAAATAATTCGGTTCACTAGCAAAGCTTGAACCAGTGTGGTTTTCCAGTGAAACCAGTTGGCAAAATGCACCAACATCCTAAACACACCCCATGCTTGTGATTTCTTAACAATGAACCAGTCTAACTAACCAGAAAAGCTGTTAACTGGTCTTTAACAGTCTCCAGTTCCTGAGGACCAGCAACAAACTGTGTGTTCCAGAACTCCAAGCGTTCCAGAGCTTCCTGTAGCCAGCGACTCAGTTCACCAGACTCACGCTTATACCTGTGACAATCAAGCACATCTCATCATGAAGATTATGAAATAAAATGAATAAAACAATGCATCACTCTAAAAAAAAAAATGTAGCTCCTGACCTGGTTGAGTGCTTCAGGATGGATTCCAGGTTCTGTAGCTCTCTGTTGATCTTGGTGGAGTTGTTGAGCCAGTGCTCGCCCAAAAGAGTGAGCTGGTTCTCCAGGCTGGAGCAGCTCACATATGACAGAAGATGCTTCCCTTCCTCCAGCACCTGATGCAGCTTGTGTTGGTGCTCCGTCAGACTGGCTTTAAGGGCCTAAGGTGATGATAATGGAAGGTCAAGTCGGTCAGATACAGTCAGTCTGGTATGATTAGATTATCTATCCTAATACACCGATCATACCCATGTTGGCAAGTTACTCTAGACTACGTTACAACTAATCCTAACATTCATGATTCCATTACATACCTGATAGAGCTCTATTCTTTCCTTCAGTCTCTCCTCCGTCTCCTCCACCAGGCCAGCGGTCGGCAGACTGCCCTCCACAGCCTCTAGCAATCGGTACAGGGTCTGATAGTCCGAAACTAGACGACCCCACGTCTGATAAAGTCAGAGAAACATACAAATACATAATGAGTGTGAAAAAAACAGCTTCATACTTTTATGGGGTCGGTAGGATATTTTAATTTCTTTGAAAGTCATTTATTGGATCAAAAATGCTGTGAATATAGTAATATTGTGAAATATTATTAACATTTAAAATAACTATTTTCTATCTAAAATTTATTTCTGTAATACAAAGCTGAATTTTCAGCATCATTACTCCAGTCTTCAGTTTCACATGATCCATTAGAATTCATTCTGCTATGCTGATTTGCTATTCAAGAAACATTTATTATTATTATCAATGTTTTTATCGATATTTTTTGTGGAAACCATGATGCATTTTTTCCAGGACTTTTTGATGAACAAAGTTCAAATGAGCAGTATATATTTTAGATAAAAATCTTTTAACAATACGAATGTCTTTACTGTCTCTTTTTTCGTCTTTTGAAAATCTTACAGACGCCATACTTTAGAAAAATGGTTACCTCTGAGATGCACTCCAGCTCAACTCCTTTCTTGTGCGCTTGCTTAAGCACATCCTGAGCCCGAGCTAGTGTCTCCTCCAGAGTCTGACGCTCACGTGGCAAAACAAAGGCACTAATTTTTTTGTAGAATGTCTCAGTGAGGACCGTGTGCCACTCTAAGCCTTGGAAAAATTCCTGGAAATGAAACATTTGGAGACATGTGAGCATCAGAAGGACATGCACAATGACAATCTTTTAGACAAAGAGTTTGGCGTACCTTGTGTTTGTCTAGAAGGTTGTGCACATCCTCTACTGAGCTGGCGATCATCTTCTGGTCAGCGTTCATCTTATCTTGGGCCGTGTCCACCAGATCAATTAGATCCTGCAGAACTCGTTCATACTGATTTTTCAGCGCCATATTCTGGTTCAGCCCGCTCCGTCGAGAGCCCACTGTCATAACCAGCTCCTCATAAGCATCCTGTCCAGCATACACGGACAACTTTGAGAAGATTCGGGTATTTTATTTCTAAACCACTATAACTTGGGACTACTTGATATGCTTCTGTTTTTAGAGTAATTGAGAACACAAACGTGTTTGACAGATTTGTTGATTGGTTGTTACCTGTAGCTTCAGCAGCTCATTGGTGGAGAACTGGTCCAGCTGTAGCTCCGCCCCTCTGGCTTTCAGCTCTGTTATTCTGTGCTCAAAGTCTTTCAGCGTCTCCTCTGCCTCTGCAATGGTCTGTCAGAACAAAAGTGAGTTCACAGCGATATAATTGGATGAACTGTAAACTATTTTATTGTTAACTAAAACTAAACATAAAACTATTAAAAAATAAAGCAAAAAAAAAAAAAAAGTAAATATAAGACAAAAATTAGAAATGCTGGCAACTAACTGAAAAAAAAAATGTTTAAGTTGAAGTACTAAAATAACAAAAACTGAAATAATAAATAAAGTTAAATAGAAATATTACAAAAATTAAAACTAATAAAAATGACAAAACAACATAAAATGCATAAAAGAACCTAAAATCAAAATGAGAACTGAAAATATACAAATTTTCAAAATATTAATAAATATTATAATAGTATATAAATAAAACTAATATCGGCATACTACTACAATCACTGTTTATAAATATGACAACATCTAATAATGAAATACAATTAGTAATCGCTAATTATTCAATGCATTAATTAATAATCAAATATGAAGTATTCTTTCTTACTTCAATCTGTTTAGTTGTTGTGTGATCAAGAACTCCTGCCATTTTCTGTATAATCTGGAACTTGCTTTCACTAAGCGCTGTAAAGAGATGCTGCAGCTCCGTCTGAAAACAAACAGGAACTGAGATGATGTTACTGTGTTGCATTATTGTACAGAACTGAACGGTGCCTGATTCCCACCTGGAAAGCTGTGAGCTCCCGCATTCGGCTCCTCATGGTGTCACAGCGGCGGTCCAGTGCCGAGTCCAGAGCTCCCAGGCGTCGAGTCAGACAGTCGAGGGTGTCCTTCATCAGGGTCTGCTCTTCCTCAGATAATCCCACAGAGCTGCCTATGAGCCCCTCGCTGTGGCTGATCTGCCTCGTCACCTCCGTCACTTCTTTTCCCAATGTCTGTAATGCAAGGAAGTGTTTGACATTTTAACTTCACTAAAACTTACGATTTATATATACATGTATGCATTATCAGATGCTTTTATTCAAAACAGAAGCATAAGTAATTCATCATAGTGCCAACAATATTCGTAGTATACAATGCCACCTGCTTGATCATTTTATTCAAATGTGCTTTATTTAATTCTACAGCTCTAGCTGTAGTTTTACTTTTCACTATGAGCAGTGTTGCTATTGTGAAGTAAAACTATTAAAAATAATTTTCGGTCATTGAAATAAAATAAAATAAAATAATAGATTAAAAAAACAAACTTAAAAATTAGAAATGTTGCCTTGGCAAGTAAAATGACTAAAACTGAAATAAAATTGAATTAGAGCCATATATAAATATTAAGCATATAACAAAACTGCTAAAACGTAAACTAAAATGAAAAAGAAAACTGAAAATATAAAAATTCAAATACTAATAAATACAGTAATAGTATATCAATAATAATAAAACAACACTGACTATTAGGAAAGCTTAAGTACTTAAGCATTTATATAAACAGATGGGAAGCAGCGGCCCAAAAATTGTCTCTAATTAAAATTACTAATTTAATTATATTATAAATTGTCTAAAAATACAAGAAATTATACTAAAAATTAAAAAAAGGGTCTCTAATTAAAATGACTAATATTATAATAATTAATAATTTTAAGAATTGAAAAATATTTTAAAAAGCAATAATAATTTAAGCCAGTTTTAACAATTCCATGTAATTTTCTGTCCACATGAAATATATCTAAGGAGAAATATAAAAAACAAACAAACATAGAAATAGAAATGCATCTCAGTAGTCTTTCTATGTCAGATACGAGCTGATTCTAAAGCAGGGTGCGAACTACGGGGGAGCTAGGGGGAGCTCACCCCTCCCCGTTATTAAAAAAAAAGAAGAAAAGTGGGCTCCCCCAAAGTCCACGGTATATTTCGAACACTGTTCTAAAGTATTATATTTTCTAGTGTACAAATGTCTCTATTAAGAAAAAAACCCACAGAGCACTGAATGTGGGCAAATAGGATCTGGCTTTCTCCTAGAGGAAGGCTATCTGTCTCATAGGAATCAGTTATTAGCTAGCAAAATTTGCCGCCCAATGTTCAGACCTCGTGGTTGGAGAGCTGCGTCTCAGCGTTCTCCGTCAGCAGCACAGGGCCAGAAAACAGTGTGTTCTCCACATCATCCACCCAAGAGGACGTGGCTGTGACTGCTGAATAAAGCTGCTGCTCCATCAGAATGACCTCTTGCTCTGTGGCCTGCAGAAACGATCGAACATTACATAATGTTTACCAGGACACACACGTCAGTATGCTAAGCTGTCAAATTAAGCAATAAGCAACTCAAGGCTGTACATTTTAGTGATTCTACCATGGTTAAAGGGTGTAAACATTCAAGTGTGTTGTCACAACTGTATCAAAAAGCCAGAAGTGTTTTATAATAATGTGTCTACCTGAGGAGTAATTTCCTTTATTGTCTGACTGAATCCATTGTGCAGAGACATCAGGCTGGACTTGTCCTGGACGTGAGTCTCTCTCTTATAGACCGGAGCTGCAGTCTTCACACAAGCAGTTCTGGAGTAAAACTGTTTGAAAATATACAACTTTTACAAAACACTCCACCAACAGAGGCAGTTTCTGATTATTACAACAGTTATGCAGCTCCAGTTATGCAAGAATATTCCCTGAAGGACAGCCAGGCAGCAAAAAGAATAGTGCTAAAGTTTAAAGGAAAATTATAAATATGAAAAGAGGGAGAAAGAGACTAATAGTAATATGCAACATAAACTGATAAAAAAGAGAGGAAAGACTAATCTGGTTATTTCCAGGAAATGCATGAACTGATCAAATTAGATAAAAGCATCTGCCAAGTGCATTCATGTAAATGTAATATTCAGCATGCAGATTAAGATTTAAAAACGATCAATTTATATAAAAAAAAAATGTAAAAATGATTGTTTTTGTATGCTCATATTAATTCAGAGACTTCATGGAATATCTGAACTTTCAGAAATACATTTGTCACACTTTATGAATTTTAAAGTTATCGGCAAAAAAATCGTAAAGATGATCAAAATGCTCAAATGTATGCATTTTAAGCTAAAAACTTGATGCTAAAAAGAGTTAATGTTACTTGTCATCTACTCTCTTACATTTTAGTTATGTGAACTAGTCATTTTAGTTATGTGAACTAGCAATGAGAGAAACAAAGCTTTTTGAAACTTTGAATCAACTGAATCACTTGCTTCCAAAATGATTAATTGTTTCAACACGCTTGAAAATGCTGGTCAAAATGGTGTAAATGCAACAAAAACTGAGCCTAAACATGCATAAAACACTTTTTACAACCAACTGTAGACGTTTAGTTACAGTACAATCTCTAAAAATATATAGTTCAGTCATGAAACTCTAGATGGCGCATTCTGACGGGGTGTTAACGTAACTAATGATATTCAGAGAGTTAAACGACTTGGCACAAGCTGATTGGTTCATGCTGCATATGCAGCCAATGAGCTTACTGCCTTGCATTTATATGGCTGGCTAGCATTCACTTGAGATTCCTGCAGCGCGCTTTCAGAGTTCTCTGAAACCCTCCACCTTCCCCAGCTCCACCTGTATAGATCTGCTACGGGGTTATTTTATATGCTATTTGTGCAGCAGCAGTATGTCTTCAATACTCACGGCAGCGTATCACCATATGAATTGGCAGTAGCAAGTTCCTGTACTTGCTTGCAGCAGCAGCAATAATCTACAACTACAGCAATAACCAACAGCAGCAGCAATTCAGCAGCAGCGTAGCAGATCTATTCCGCCAAGACCAAATACATTAACATTGTCATATCCATCACCATGCTAAAATGTTCCGAGAGTTGTCATGATTGAAATACAATTAACAAATCATCAAATACAATTTAATATGCAATATCTGTATGAAATGTGTTCTTTTATTCATTTACAGGGCTTGTTTTGTTTGTTTTATGGACATCTTGGTTAACCGGGCAATAATATTCTATTATCTACTATTCTTCCTCGTTATCATACAAATGTGTCATTAAAAATGTTCACAAATGTATAAAACTGATGAGGTAAAAAACATTGACACTGGTTCTTGGGTTCACAGAGGTCGTACCCTAATGACGAACCAATAACATTTAGAAACATTGCTAAAGAGTTAAGACGTAACGAAGCCTCGTTTACTGAAATCACAGAACTTTGTTAGTTCGACACACTCTGAATCACTGGTTCAAAGCAAATGACTCTCAAAGGTTTTCATGAAGCTTTTGAAAAAGCTCATCGTTAATGTGAACACTGTAATGAAGTCACCATACCGGTTGTTTGCTGTCTTGCTCCAGCGTGTTCATAAGGAGCTGTAGTTTAGTGGCCATGTCTTTTTTCAGACTTTCCCATCTCTTTCTCCTCTGTTTCTTCACGGCCTGAATGTCTCCCTCCTGCTCCACATCAGGCGAGAGGATCTCTGTTGCACTGCAGAATATTTGACAGACAGAACTGTGAAGAAGGAGAAAGTCAGAGATGTAAATGTTTGAGGTAAAAATGATATTCCAGTAAGATGTGAGAGAAATGTTACCCGGCTCTGACGGGTGATGCCTGCTGGGTGAGGATTTCCTCTCCACGACTCGCTACAGATTTCAACAGCTTCTTCTGCTCTGCAAGTTGCTCTTCAAGCTCCTGAATGAACAATATTATCATTCCTCATTTAGCAGATGCTTTCTTATTGAATGCAACTCACAGTAGACTCACTACAGGTTCAGTCCAACTAGAGGACACAATGGTGATAGTTCTAGATCTGTTGTTTTGTCATTTAAATCCCAAAAACCTTCTCTTTGTAAAATGTGATCTACCTTCTGTTTCTGGAGGGTGTCCTGGTGCTGTAGGCTGCGTGTGGAGCGGGCCTGGGCCAGCCAGTCCTGCATGTTTGGACTCTGGGAGAGACTGGAATCTGATTCACTGGAGTCTGATGGCTCCTTAAGGGAATCCTGCAGGAGAGGGAAAATGCAAATATGAGTACTAACAGTGGATTAATAGTCACGGATATCGAAACCACATCAATCATGATCATAAAATCAAATGATCATCCTATCATGAATCAAATCATCAGTCATCATTCTGCAATATTCTTTTATATAATAGCAGGAAAAAAGGAAGCCATGCAGGAGATTGTCATATTCCGACCGAACCCAGTGCTGCTGAATTATTCTGCACATAGAGTGACAAACAAAAAATCTGAGATATATTATTATTACATTTCCTCTTTGAGGGCCTTTCAGTTCTTCCCAAATTAAAGTCGCCTGCAGGACATAAAAGACAAACCATTTAAAGACTCTCACAAAAACATGTCTTGGTCATATTTTATTTTATTATAGAATATCTATTTTATTTTAATAAAACCTATTTTATATCATGTTTTTTTAAAATATTTTATTATAATAACATTATTAAAATTAGATTAATATTATAAAAATAAAATTTTCTTAAAAATAATATATTATACACACAATATAAATGATATTTTGTTTAAATAAATGCCATTTTTGTAATAATCAGTTTGTTTGCATTGAAATATTATTTTTAATTACATTTCAAAATCCTGAATTAACTTTACATATGAAAAACTGTATATGAGTTTGTTTGTTTTTTTAACTCTACAAAAATACAGTTTTTTAAATATTTCCTATTTTTAAATTATGATTTTATTGTCATTTGGTTTTATTGAGTTTTTTATTTGTTTTTATTGCTTTCATGCTTAATTTCCATAAATATTTTTATTCTCACCTGTGAACCATGTTAAGATGCATTTTATTAAAAAGAGTCTACATAAATAAAGTTTATTATTATTATTATGTACCATGATAGTACTATGTTTTTTTTGGGCATTGTAATAAATTTTTTTTCTTGGAGCACCATCTAATGTAATTATATGATATATGGTATATGCAAAAGTTAATTATTCAGTATCAAATAAGTATAATAGTACTAACACACTATTACCATACCATGGTACCACCTCCACTGGTACCACCGCAAATTATATTTTTAAAGATCCAAATGAACCTCTAGGACATAGAGATGAAAAAGTCTAAGCTTCCAGCCTTGATTCAGAATTGAAGTCCCACCTGAATGTTGATCTGCTTGTCCTGCAGCATCCTCTGCAGCTCTAGCAGGCTGCCTTTCAGTGTACGCAACTTCCTGGCCAGCTGCTCCGCGTCCTCCCTGCTCTCCGGCTGGCCCTCCAGCAGAAGATTCTCGCTGTGTCTGGAGAGCTCGGAGAGAGCCAGCACCTTCTCCTCGATCTCCAGCAGCATGTTCTGCAGGAGCAACAGAAGCGAGGCCAGCTCAAACATGGTTCTTCCGCTCTCATCCCAGGCCCTTACTGACACCTACAGCGCCATACATTATCCATAATCCCTCACGTGCCATGCTCCCAGTAAACATGCATTCTTTAGGATAACGGGAATGTATAAAAATACTTTAAATTATTTCCAAAATTCACTTGGAAAATGTTAAGACTACGCATAAGCTTGTAATAAAAATTCAAGGTGTTTCACAGTGGGACATATGCCAGTTTGTAACCTTCCCATGAAGGCAAAAGTAGCCCCGCCCTTTCCCCACTAATGCTGCAGCCAGCCTCATGAATATGTAATAAGGGGCGGGACAGATTTCCAGTGAGCACCAATACTTTCACAGGAATCCTCTAATACCCTTAAAGCCATTATAACTGTAAATGGTGTTACGCTGAGACATTTACATAATCTGATTACAGCTCGTGCCACAGACGCTTAAGAATCAATCCATCTGAACGCTCAGAGGCCTTCTAATAATACTGCTGCTTACGGATAAAAAAGTTTCCTGTTCCTGAATCCAGTGGAATTAAGCAAAACTCATTCATTTCAAAAAACAAAGCAGGCATAAATTTCAGGAGTTAACACAAAATAATAAATGTTCTTTTGTACTTCAATCTGTAAATAATTCATATAGTGCACATTTTGTGATCTGCTGTAGGGGGCGCTCTAACCTGACAGTCTATGAGTTGCTCTTCCACGTCTGAGCCTTGAGAGCAGGAAGTGATGTTACCGCGAGTGCTCTGTAGCCACTGGTCCAGCTGGTCTGCCTGGTTCAGGTAGCGCTGCAAAGCCTGAGCCTGTTGCTGCTTTTCCACACGTTCACTCTGTCGCTCCTACACACATCAGCATATATATATATATATATATATATACCAGTTATCTTTAAAGAACAGAAGCCTTTATCAGGCTATAAAATGAGTGAAAACGTCAGTACACCATAACTTTACGAAGAAACTGAGATCAAAAAAGATTTCCAAAAATTAAAGAAAAAAAAAATATATATATTTTTTAAGAAATGAATGCTGTTATTCAGCAAGGATGCACCAAATTGATCAAAAGTGACAGTGAAGACATTCATAATGTTGTTTCTTTGAACTTTCTACTCATCAAATAATCTTGAATATCAGCACAAATGTTTTCAAAATTGAAAAAGTTTTTTGAGCATCATATTAGCATATTAAAATTATTTCTGAAGGATCATGTGACACTGAAGACTGGAGTGATGATGCTGAAAATTCAGCTTTGCATCACAAGAATAAATTACATTTTACATTATATTCAGATAGAAAACAGTTCTTTTAAATTGTAATAATATTTTACAATATTGTAAAATCGTGGTTATCGTGGTTGACTCTTAACTTTTATAAAGAATATCTCTTTGGATTTGAGACTTTAGTTTTTGCAACTTTACAGATCTTCTTTATGCACCAAGAGCTTGTAACACTCCAAAGAGAAAGGAAAAATTGAAATTGCATCATATGACCCCTTTAAAGGTATTTTTTTTCATTATTATTTACAATATTATTTATTTTTTAACAATACTAACTTTTTTAATAGGCACCTGGTTTGCATTTCAAAACTACACTTGAAGTCGCACCTTTCCAAAGCCGAAAATAAAGTTTTACTTTATTTTTTCACAACATGTTTTCAAAATACTGAGCAATAATTATGTATGAAGGGTGTTCTAAAAATAAATTAGACATATTATTTAATTATTATTCTAGGCATACCTCAAGAAGTCGGCGTTTTCCAGAAGCCTTCATGTGGATGGTGGCCATCCTCTCGGACAGCACAGTGAGTGTGGACTGCATGGCCAGCTGATCCGCAGAGTCCGAGTCCACCGCATCAGAGATCAGCTCTTCTGTGAAGCTGGACTCAAGCTCATCTATATCATTCTGCAGTTTGACAATTTCCTCCGTCTGATTCTGGAGGAATACGGAAGTATGACGTTTTTGTTGTGCATCAATATTCTTATAAATCTCTTACAGTCTACAGCTGGAGCTAGAGTTTAGTATTTCAATCTTCTCACCTGGTGTAGGACCATTTGTCTGTCAGGACTGAGATCGTGCATAGGAGGCTCGTTTAATCTGGCCTCGATGTACTCCATCTTAGTCGAGATGGTCTGTAGAGAGCCCTGATAGCGCTGCTGCTTCTCCAGAGCCTCGTAGAGAGTCTTCTGCTTTTCACTTATCTGTAAAACACAGAGATAAACTTAAAGACCAGATTTTAAATCCTGGTGCATCTGACTGTTGAACAGAAAAGTCATACGTACCACATTTTTCAGGGTCTCCCACGAGCGCTGAAGATCATCTAAGCTCGCTACAGACTCCAGCGCGGGATTGTACAGCTCCTGGATGGGCCCTCTGGTGAGAGTGGCCCTTCCCATGGACATCTGTATTTAGGACAGTCCAAAAAGATGATGATAAATAAGAGAGAACAAATACATCATGTTAATGTACTACAAAGTCATTGCACTGCTGTCTGTCACAGACTTAACATATACTGATTCAGGTTCACATTGAGCGTACTATATGTTCAGAATGACAGACTACACCTACCAGGAGTGCAGCAGTGTTATTTTAGTATCACTGAGATACTCTTATTAGTTTTTATTAATAATTCTGAGTTTGTATTATACAGTTTTTTTTGTTTTAGTCATTTTTAGTCTTTTTATGTCTACATAGAAACTATATAGACATAAGATATGTCTATATAGTTTTTATTATTTTTTATTTCAGTTTTTGTTTTATTTATTTTAGCACATTAGGTTAAATTAAATTGAAATAAGAAATGCTACCTTGGCAACTAACTGGAAAAAAAACTGTTTAAAAACAGTTAATGTTTATTTTATTTCAAGTAACAATTTTTAAAAATGGTTTTAGTTTTACTTAACTATAATAACCCTGGAATGCAGTATGAATATTGTGCACAGTATGTGAATTTTCTGCATATATGAAATCATTTCCCACTACATTTACCAAAAGGCACATTATACAACCAGAACACACTGCTACTAAAACTGAAATAAAAATAATGAAAACTCTATAGAAATATTTAAAATGATGCAATTTGATTCTGTTTTTGGATATGTAATTATGTGGTGGACAAAGATAAGAAATTTTTTACACAACAAATGACGATGTAGTGCATTGCTATTCAAAACATTATTGCATTACAATTTTCACAACTAGTATGCAGTATACAGTATAAACTACGTATAAGATAGTATGTTAGGTTTCTGTTCCAAACCTTTTTTTTTTTTTTTGAATAAAATTAAGGTGAAACTTGGGAATTGCAAAAAGGCAGTACATGTCTGCTAGAAATCAGATCAAGCACCAAAAGTTTTTTTTTCTTCTGTTAATACCTTGCTAATGGCTGCTTCTGTGTTAGTGATAGGAGAGGGAGATCGACAGAAAGCAGGAGAGCAGATCTCACTGCTGGTGCCCTCCTCGCCAGACTCCTCTGTCACAGGAGACAGGAAAGACTGACAGCGACCAGCCGACATCTGACAGCATCACAAGAGAGAGTCACAGAGCAGAAGATATTAGTCAATCAGTTCACAGAGCTGTAAAGTTAATTGATTATGACATGCAAAGATCACAGAGAGAAAAGTAAAAAAGGCAATTCAGGTAAGAGTCAGTTTTTAATCAACACTGCAAGTCGACTTCTTATTCTGTATCATTCACTTAATTAGTATTTTTGTTTTGATTTCATGAATCAATAATTTAAATATTTAAAACTAAATTTGGATTAACCTGAAAACCCTTTTCAAGGGTAACAATCCTAATATCTTACGTCATTTGCTTGTTGAGAAAATTTATCTTGATTTAAGGATGATCATCTATTTTTAATACAAGACAAAAATTTAGATTAGCCAATTAAAAACATGATTACAAATCATGTTTTGTAGTGCACACGGTTACTTAGAATTTATGAACAAAGAGCAATTGCTTTTTTAACATTTAACACTCCAGTCTGTTTCCTTTCCCCACAATTACAATGTCATGCCTGCGTTCAGGGTAATGATACATACGGAGACTTGTGATTGGGTCTTTCTTTTAATAGCATCACCGTCCAGTTCCTCCAGACTCTCGGTTAAACCCTCTGCATCACTCACTGACAGGAGCGTGGTGGCGTGTTTAGCTTTTACCGTCAGCATCTTACACTTGGAGTTCAGGGATGCAATTTGCTCCTGGTAGCCCTTGATTTTCTGGGCCAGTTCCTGTTTAGATAAAAATAAACAGAATACAGAAGATGTTATTTAGTTGCCCTTTAGGTTAATGCAAGAAACAGGAAAGATCAGTCTGACTAAACACAAACAGTAGATGTTAAAACACAAAAACAAGATTAGCAGACAGTGTGGCATCTCTGATCTAAATATCCATCTCACTTCATCAAAGTTGGAATTTTTTACCTAAAACTCTTTAAATAAATATTTCATTTGTTTTTAATTATTTTATTAACATTTTTAAAATGTTAAAAAATAAATGAAAATAACTTAAATAAAGCTGAACTAAAATAACATATACATATAAAATATAATATCAATAAATTAAAAGCTATATAGAAATATGAAAAATAAATTAAAAATGACAAAAACATATTACGGAGCCTGTCCTGAGCCATGACATGCAAGAAAAAATAAATAAATCGTGCGCACGATTTACTAATTCGTTCCATCGATGTACTAAAACGTACACACGATTACTATTTCTTTCCCTCGATTTGCTAATTAGTTCCCTCAATTTGCTAAGTCGTTCCCTCGATTTGCTAATTCGTTCCATCGATTTGCTAATTCGTTACCTCGATTTGCTATTTCGCTCCATCGATTTGCTAAATCATTCCCTCAATTTGCTAATTCATTCCCTCGATTTGCTAATTCGTTCCATCGATTTGCTAATTCGTTACCTCGAGTTGCTATTTCGCTCCATCGATTTGCTAAATCATTCCCTCAATTTGCTAATTCATTCCCTCGATTTGCTAATTCGTTCCATCGATTTGCTAATTCGTTACCTCGATTTGCTATTTCACTCCATCGATTTGCTAAATCATTCCCTCAATTTGCTAATTCATTCCCTCGATTTGCTAATTCGTTCCATCGATTTGCTAATTAGTTACCTCGATTTGCGAATTCGTTCCATCGATTTGCTAAATCATTCCCTCAATTTGCTAATTCGTTCCCTCGATTTGCTATTTCGTTCCCTCGATTTGTTAATTCGTTCCCTCTATTTGCTAATTCGTTCCCTCGATTTGCTGATTCGTTCCCTCGATTTGCTAATTTGTTCCCTCGATTTGCTAATTCATTCCCTCGATTTGCTAATTCGTTCCATCGATTTGCTAAATCATTCCCTCGATTTGGTAATTCATTCCCTCGATTTGCTAACTCGTTCCCTTGATTTGCTAAGTCGTTCCCTCGATTTGCTAATTCGTTCCCTCGATTTGCTAATTCGTTCCCTCAATTTGCTAATTCATTCCATCGATTTGCTAAATCATTCCCTCAATTTGCTAAATCGTGCGCACAATTTACTAATTGCTTTTTCTCTATTTATAAATCGTGTGCACGATTTAGCAAATCAAGGGAACGAATTAGTAAATCGTGTGCACAATTTATAAATCGAGGGAACGAAATAGTAAATTGTGCACACGATTTAGCCTATTATTTTTTTCCTGCATGCCATGTAGGCTCCATAGCATATAACAAAATTATTTTAAAATTAAATTTAAAATAAAAACTTTTAAATTAAAATGAAAACTGAAAAATATGAATAAGTACTATAATAGTAAATAAAAAATAAAAAATAACACTGCACCTCATGATGGTTAATTTGTGCCTGCAGCTCTTGGATATTGCTGGTGTTCACAGGTTGGTCCTGAATGACCCGGTGAGCATCTTCAATCATGGCCTGCAGGTTTCTGACTTCCTGTTCATACTGGTCATATTGCACCACTGCCTCCTAAACAGACATCACACAAATACATAAATTTTTAATATTTAATATCATTACTTAAATTAGATTAATAATAATTACTACACCCCTTAACCAACCCCTTTCAGATATCTTTGACATATTTAAATACAAATTGAGACATTATATAGTTCCTTTACAAAGGTGTTTCATCATGTAGACCCCACGAAAATGTTCATTATCATTATTTACTTCCTCTAAATACATCTCTAATTTATAATCCTTTCTGACAGATCATAAAACAAACACAGCATTTGTGCCTAATAAGCTATAAGCTCTCAACACATGATCCATGAAAATTCAGGCGTGTTTGGTGGCTGGTAAGCAGGTGTTTTTATTCCCATCTGGTGCCACAACTGCTCTCCCTACCTGCAGGATGTTGCATTGCTGGATGGCAGTGTGCTGGAGTTGACTGGCCTCTTGCTGCAGATTCAGAGCAGTGCGGCAGATGGACAGACTGGTCACCACTTCTTCAGGGACTCTTAAAGTGCTCTGACACTCCTGTACGGCCTCTACCTGCTGCTTGAAGCTCTCCATGTCCGCCAGCAAACGCTGAAAAAAATATGCATTTTTTAAAATGGTGTTCTATTATATGAACAAAACTGCTTCCCTTCCAAACTAAAATATGTATGTAGCAAAAACACTCAATAATTAATCAGAAGAACCTTTCTGTTACCAGTCCAGATATTTAACCAGTTACACTACAGCCAAAGACTTATTTACCTAGAAGAGTATACTTCAAATTATGTTTACTTTATGCATACTTGAAAGGAAAAGTTCACCCAAAAATGAAACTTTGCTGAAAATGTTCTTATGCTCAGGCCATCCAAAAGTGTAGCATTACATCACTTGCTCACCAATGGATCCTCTGCAGTGAATGGGTGCCGTCAGAATGAGAGTCTAAACAGCTGATAAAAACATCACAATAATCCACACAACTCGAGTCCATCAATTAAAGTCTGACTGCAGAAGATCCTTTGATGAGCAAGTGATGTAATGCTAAATTTCCCCAAACCTGTTTCCAATGAAGAAGCAAACTCATCTACATCTTGGATGACCTGAAGGGGAGTACACTTTTGGGTGAACTATTCCTTAAAGTTTCCTGGTTTCTAACATCTAGTCAATTATGTTACGCTTGGAATAATGGGTATTATATATAACTTTTTAGAGGGTGTCTTAAAGAGGAAAATAAATGCTTCTTGAGGATCAAGACAGATAAATGCACCTGTCTTTGAGTCAGTTGTTCTTTCAGACTCAGTCGGGCCAGTTCAGGAGATGTGAGAGTGGCTTGAACCTGCTCCAGTGACACATGCAGGGCCTTCACTTCACTCTCAAACCTCTCCATATCCTGAAACAAAATACAAATGCAGTCACGCTGAGCTAGAGAAAAAGTCTTCAGTGTAGTTACCAGTTTGTTGGTTAGTTTATCATTTTTATTGCCATGTCAGCATCTAAGGCTATCTTCATGGCAAAAATGGACTTAGAATAGCGTAGTTAACAGAATAAAACATAAAAAAATATTTCATACCTTTGCTGCGTCTTGTAGACTATGCAGTCGTGATCTAATGCTCAGCTCCAGCTCCTCAGTGTGGCGGCTCAGTTCTGACACCTGCTGTCCCATTGCCTCTACCTGCAGCATCTCAGACAGTATTTCCACCTTCTCATGCATGGCCTCCAGGTCACCATGGAGCTCACGCGACTCACGCAGAACAGACTGCAAGGTCAAAAACACAGGTAGGTTATTTCACATAAATAAATATATAGTTCAGTCATGAAACTCTAGATGGCGCAGGCTGACGGGTTGTTAATGTAACTGATGATATTCAGAGAGTTAAAACGACTTGGCACAGGCTGATTGGTTCATGCTGCATATGCAGCCAATGATACATATTGATACATGTTCACCTGATACATCCTGATCTGCTCTTGCAAGTGTGAGGAGGAGTTCCAGATGATGTTGGCCTTCACCAGGCTCCTGGCTCTGTCTGTCCACTTCACTATGAACTCAAACATCTCATTGTACTCATCTAGATGTGCATCAGCCTTGAGCGAAAAAGACACACCACATCACATGCAATACATGAAAAGCTCTAATCAAAAGGTCAAACCAAGCAAATAGCCTGAAGGAAATAGGCTGAGATTGTATCTTTTTTTCTATTAGCTGAATGTTTATTTTCTCTATTTAAACATACTATAATATATCTTCTTACCTTCTTCAGCCATATTGTATTATATTCAGCCAGTCGAAGAGTGTGATGATGGATCTCTCGTAATTTGGCAATTGCATCAGCCAGCTGTCTGGCTATCAGAGGGTTACGGCGACCAAAGTCCTGCACTGCTGCTTCCAGCTCAGCGAGATTTCGTCCACAGCCGTCAAGTTCATCACAGAGACGCTAGGAATATAGTCAAAGTACTTTATGCTCATTCAAAAAAGGGAAATTTGTTTATAAAAAAAATACAAATATTATCAATTTTACTATTATTGGGATGCAACACATACTCTGGCCTCATCTTTGGCCTGATCAATATCAGTGGCCTTTTCCTTTAGAGAGGTTGAGACAGCCTTCAATTTTTCGGACACGTCATGAATTCTGGAGTTGAACTCCTCTTTGATAACTCTGGTCTTCTGGATGTCTCTCTCCTTGGCTTGAACCTAAAGATATGATTCGTGTTTTATATCTTGCATAAGGCTTTATTAAATATGCTAATGTTGTTGAAAATATGTCTCCTACGAATTAATGAGAAACTGCGTATTAATCCAAAATGAAGAAATGAAAAGGGTAATTATGTACCTGGTCCTCAATGGATCCCAGTGCCAGGGACACTTCAGCCAGTTGCATTGAGATCTCAGATGGTAAAATAGTGTACAGGTCCAGGTATTTACTTTGCTGCTGTTCTGCGAGCTTATTCACATTCTGGCGATGAGTGATCAGCTCTCCATGCATCACCTTCATAATGATACAATATAATTAAGACAATCAAAATTATACAAACGTTCTATTTATATGATGCTATTATAGTATGTACATTGTGCACAATATGCAAATCTTCTATATGTATGCAATGCCAGGATGATACACTATATTTGCTAAATGTGTAGTATACAAGTGTGACGAGAGGGGCGGGGCCGAGAGCCGTGGGAACGGAGCGAGGCCGGTGGAGGAAATGCTAATGCGCAACACCTGCGCCACTCACCGGTCTCGAGTCCCACGGAGGAGCTCCGGAAGGATAAAAGGAGGAGTGACGGCAGTGTTAGAGGAGATTTTATTTTGTGTTTTGTGTGCGGCAGTCGTCCGCGAGGGGCTGCCGCTTTACTTTCATTTTGTGTTTGTTTATTTAATTAAAATCTTAAATGTTCGCCGGTTCCTGCTTCCTTCTTCCCGAACTACGAACATTGTTACATTGGTGCCGAAACCCGGGAGGAAGGAGGGACACGCTGCCAGAGATCCCTCGCCGCTGTGGTGAATCCGCGGTGCCATCGAGCAATAGCGGAGCAGTCTGCCGCCATGGAGGCTTGAGGCGGTGGGCTGGAGTGAGTTGCCGGGGGGGCGGACGAACTCGCTGCCGGCCGCCTGGGCTGTGGAGGGACGGCTGCCTTCCGTGAGGGAGCGGAGAAATGTTCGCCGGTTCCCGCCTCCTTCTTCCCAAACTACGAACGTTGTTACAACAAGAAATACTGCACTAGGCAGAAATACTGCATGCCATGTGTTCAACTTCATTTCAACTCACCTAACTTACATGCAATATAATGACAACAGTGTAGCATACTGAAGTTTTAACAAATATTGTTGGCTACAGAATTCACATATTCTTTTCACCTCCAGTTCTTGTGTCAGAATGTCCAGATCAGACGTGGGGTTCAGCAAAAGCTCCCTGGAGTCCTGGATCCAGCTCTTGACAAGACTCAGCCCTCTCTCCACACCTTCCCTGTCCGACAGTTCCTGCTGAACCCGAGTCTTTCCTGTCCTGGCCTTCTGCAGAAGACTACAAGAGACACAGCATAAACAGATTAGCATTCAGTCAATATTTGGTATGAGGCATTACAGTCCGATTAGACCAATACGGGAAGCAAAACTACACTGACATTAAACTGGTTAGTATTCAGTCTTTACTATTTGCACTAGCTGCAAATACATTGAGTTACTGTATTGTTTGGTGGATTTCATTATTATTGGTTTGTATTGAATTGGAGAAAGGTTATATACCTTTCAAGCTGATCTTGCACAGCTTTGATCTCCTTCAGACTTGGCAGTTGCTCATGATCAGGCGTTGGCACAGACACCTCCACACCATGTAGCAGGCTGAGGGCGTACTGTCGTAAGAGGGTTAGAGAAGACAGCTCCCTCTCCAGGTCCTGACCAACCAGCTCGTACTGGTCCAGATGTGACTGCAGTGTGGCTTTGGAGGCTTTCTCAGCAGTACAATCAGGAACACGGCCCTTCAGTTCTTCTGTTACAGCTCTTACCTTCATCATCTGAGCAACATAAGTTGTTTGAAAAAAGATATCAGTCTTTGTAATATTTACCTGTTCGCCCAAACTCTTATAATGTACCATTAAATTTTATATATAATCAATATACCATTTCAAACCATTTAAAAGTTATAGCATTGCATTTCCTTAATTTGAGTAGGGGCAGAACATCATAATAACATTAAACGAGGACTCCCGGAATATTTGGCCGCAAGTATCGACAGTGAAACGGTACCTTTTCTCTGAAAGTTCTCCATTCGTGGGCTGTATCCTCCAGCACCCTTTCTTGGCCTCGTGCTACACTGCGCAACCTGGTCCAGCGCTGCCACACCGTGGTCATGGATCGACTTATGGTGGCTTTACTGGCATCACTTCCAACCAGCTCTAACTGGGAGGCTTGCTCTTCCAGACCAGTCAGCTTTTCTTGGAAACTGTTTACCATGGATACCAACGACTGAAGGCCAAAGATGAAGACATTTTGATCAGTTTATCATCATGTAGACAGTTGAATAAGTTTATCTACTCAAGAAAGAGAGTCAATTCTGCACACTTGGCTTACCTTATGACTACGGAGTTTCTCTTCAGCTTCCTGGCTTGTTGCAGCCTTGGCTGTGGAAAACTCTGTTAGCTTCTTCTCTGCCTCATTCATCAGCTCAATGACTGTCTGTCTGGCCTCCTGATATGAATTCCACTGGGTAACACAGCTGAAAAAGGTCACATTATTACTGTGATTATAATTCAGACCTACATCCAACTACAACATTGGTCTTTATTAGCATAAAACTTGGGTAAATTTACCCTTAATAGATCTAAGCTAGAGCTCAAATGTTCTGGAAAATTGTGTTCTGTACTAAACTGTACCTGTTTAAGATGTCTTGGTGGCACTGAAGCTGGTCTCTGACCTCCACACCTCTCTGCTGTGCAGACTCCACACTAAGTCGAAGCTGATCCTTGGCTGTAGGGTTGACCAGGTTTTCAAGTTGAGGTGACAATGAATCCAGCTCCTCAAGAACACCTAGGAACTCCTGTTCAGTGGCCATGATGTCTTCCTGTTGCCTCAGACACTCCTCGTAGTTCTCCACGTCCACCCCAAGGCTGGCCTGCTGCAAGAAGCCCACAGCGTCCTCCAGCCACTCACAAGCTGTTTGCATTCTGGAGTGATACTTCTGGCACAAGGCGAGAGCTTGCTCTAGCGTTATCTACAGGAGAAACAATTGGATTCGTTAGTGAGTTAGCTAAGGGGAACCATTGGTTAACTAAGTCTTGCTGGCTTGGGTAGTTAAGAAGCTTGTTAGGCTCAATGCATCCCATGTTGGGGGGTTATGTTGAAAATTTATGCAGGATTTTGTGCTTTAACTAGTAGTCTTGGTTCTATTGATAGTTTGGATTAGAACTTGCCTGTTTGGAGCTGAGGGCACGTTGAACATCAGCCTCCAGCTTGGCCATTTCTTGTAGACTTGAGTCCACATGAGGGGGGACGAGCTCATTGGCACTGGTGTACTTCTGCTTCTCTCTGGTGCTTAGAGCCGCCACTATCCTAAGCCTCGACTGAACTTCCTCTTGCATAATCTGTTGCTTTCGGATTTCCTCCTGGACCTTCTCAACCTTGACGTCTACCACCACCTCAGAGCCAAGTTCATCTTTGATTTGCTGGAGCCAAGTTAAGGTCCGATTGACTTCTGTCTCAAAGTCTTTACTCTGCACAAACCTGTTCTCACACTCCACAATTAGTTCCCCAACAGCTGACTGTAAGGACTGAAGCTCTTCTTCCCAAGAGGTTCCTCGCTGCTTTGAAGCCTCATGTGTGGCGGAATCCATGTGGAGTGCCAGGTTATCCATCTGCTCCATGAGTCGAGTGAGGTGAGAGCTGGCACCATGAAGACTAGCGGCCAGAGCATGATAGTTTTGTAATCTCTCCTCAGCTGACTGCGTCTCTGCATTGACTTTCACCAGTTGCTCTTTGGTGGCCTTCAGCTCTGAATCAACCTGCATAGCCATGGCTTGATGGTCCTCGAAAGATTCCAGAGTGTCATCAAGATGTTCTACCCTCTGCTCAATCAATCTTTTGAGACCGTTGTAAAGGCTAACCAGTTGGGTAATTTCTTCAGGTCTCCAAGGTTGACCGGTGCTACGAAATCCCTCTTTCTTCTGGTTAAGCTCACTGACGGCTTGTCCAAGATTGGTCAGCTCCTCCAGGAGGCCTTTATAATCAGCCTGAAGACTGACAACCTCCTCAGTCTTAAGGCCGACAGACTGCGTCCCCAAGTTGTGGAATTGTTCCTCAAGTTCTTTAAGCGCTTTGTGGGTCACATCAATAAAGGAGGCATATTCCTGTCTGGCAAGAATGGCTTGTTGTATTTTCTCTTGTTTCTCCTTGGCTAGTCCCAAAATATTATTGTACTGTTGTGGAAGAGCAATCAATTTGCATATGCTTAGATGGTCGAAAAGGAAACTCTGAGCTAGTTCAGGAGGAGGACTCATCTTCATGGCTTCGGATAAGGCAGGCTTCTGTTCCTCAGCCCATTCGCGAGCTTCCCTCAAACGGGCCTCAACTTGGCCCATGTCTTCAAGGGTCACAATGGAGTCTTGGATCTTCCTCTCTATGAGACTCTCCAGATGGGCCCATCGCTGCTCAAAGTGGCCAATCTGCTCCTTCACCAACTCTTTATCATCCAGGTTTAAGTGGTACATTACTTTTTGCTTCTGCTCTTTGAGGTCCTCAAGTGTGCTTTTCTTTTCTTTAAGAACAACCGAGAGCTTCCGAAGAGCCTCCAAATGATCAGATGAACTCTCAGCATCAGTTCTACAAGATCATAAAATAATAATGTAACTCCCAGAAGTCTCAAATTACACTTCCGTTGTAGCACTAATTAAAAGTGACATATGAATACATTTACACTAAATCCTGAATAACAGTTTTACCTGGCCAGGTTGTCCCATTCCTTGGACACCTGTTCAAAGAGGGCTTCCATGGCACTGATGCAGTCATGATACTCTTTAGTCCTCTGCAGATCTTCCTCTCTCTGAGCCTGCAGATTGTTGGCCTCATGGCACAGCTCCAGCCATGCATGGCTCAGTCGTCCAATCTCTGTATGCTCAGGAGACTCCTGCCCTTCTGTCAGCTTACTCACAAGCTCTGTCATTGTAGTCAGAGTGCTTTGTCTGTTTTGAAGCTGCTGGCCAAATTCCTACAGGCAACATGAGCACAGAGAATAAGCCAAGTGTATAAAAATAGACAACATGAGAAATGAAAAAAAAAAACACTCTTTTATGTTATAAATAAATCACCCTGGTCCTAATGTGAACAATTCATCAGCGCACGCTATTCTAAAAATAAAAATGTCTGTTTTCATAATCTATCATCAAAATGAAATAATGTAATAACTATCTCCACAATGGAAACATTTAGCTTTTTCCCCCTTCCTGCTGACGTAATCAATGCCAGGGCATGTGAAAAATAATATAAACCAATAAAATCATAGCCTACTTTACATAATTCAATAAAAAAACTAAATCCAACCCTACATTATTTCCAAATGAATATAATGTTTGACTCAAAGTACATCAAATTATAGAAGTTAAAAGTATGTAAATGTCATTCTAAGTTGTAAAAAAAAAAAAAAAAAAAAAAAAAAAAAAAAATATATAAATATATAA